TTTGAACTGCTTCCCTTTTCCAGAGGCCTTTGCATGCCCTACTGTATCACCTATATAGTTACTAGTTATCTTTCAATACTGTATCGACTATATAGTTACCAGCTATCTTTCAATAAAGCACATAAGTTAAAAACTGAAAGCTGCTCCCTACTTCCCACTGGAAATAATGTCATCTCCACACTGAGACCTTTGGAATTTGGCTCTCACCTACCATTCCAACTTCAGTTTATGGCAGTTTCCTATTTGCTTTAGCATAATCAAATTGAAGCACATTCCATGAGGTCATGCACATACTTCCCACATTTTTATCTCTGGAATAAATAGTTAGAAATTTTCAAAGTTCAAATAATTTTTTCCTAAGTCATAAATACAATTTCAAAATGTTTGGAAAAAAAAATGTTTAGCTATGATGTTGCCATTTTAACAGAAGATCTTTATTTCCCTTCTAAGATTCCTCTGTGAATGTATGTATTTGTCTAGAATACATATAAATTTGCATAATTTTCTCATATGTTTTAGTTAGTTATTCCTTTTCATGTTGCAGGAAATATCAAACATAACAAAATAATATTGTAAGAGAAAGAAAAAACAAGAAAAAAGGCAAGAACAGAGATAAAATAGAGCTATGAATACGCTGAAGATGCATACCATATGCATAACCCATTTACTATGGATGATGCAAATATGCGGTTCTCAATTTTCTAGTAATCATTGTAAAAAGAGAAATTTTGTTAGCCAAGTCCTAGGGTCCAGGAAATTAAAGCGCTTCAGTATTTACAACACTTCTCAGACAAATATTGCAAAAAGATATTTTTCCTGAGCTGCTTCTAAAGGGAAAGCTGAGTGATATATTTAACAACTTCTGGCTTCCTTATTAGAGACTGTGCACCTCATTTCCGATCACTCACTGCTCATATTGAGAATCAATACAGGGAGCTATCATTGCACAAATCACAATGATTCTGCAAATATCATCTTTTTGGAAATCATTTTATACTCGCAAGGCACCTAGCTCGTTGCTCCTTTCCTTTAAATCATGAATAAATATTAATATATTGAAATACTCACATATAGTACTATATGTATTAATCACAGAAGTGGCCAAATTTTTATGCTTTGGAAAAACTGAATATTGCTTCTCTTCAAGAATGAGTTTTAAAGAGTTCTTGGGTAAAATCTTAAAACCTTATATCCTAAATCAGGCACTTGAAACTTGCTTGGTTGAAAAGTTACTAGCCATTCTCTCTATTCTCATTTTTTTTATCATGAATATAGTTCCCTTTGGGACGAATTTTCCAAATTCAAAAATATGGCTAGGCTAGGGATATAGGCTAGGCTTGGGCATTTGTCTCTAATAGTAAAAAGATGGTATCCCAGAAGGACTCAAACACAAGCTTGCAAAAGTTCTCACTGTACCCAATATTGAGGCATCTCCAGAAATATGGCTAGTGGAGCTATAAATTTTGGGCAAACTTACTGAAGATTATATTACATACTGGTAGGAAGCCTGCATACTAAAATCCTTGATTTTTCCATTTTCTGAGTTTTTCAGAAGATGTGGTGACAAGTTTTTTCACCTTTGCTTTGATAAGTGGTTGTAGGAATGTTAGGATATGGATTCTCATCCCTTATTAATTCTGTTACTAACTAGAGCGCTAGGCAGGTTACTTAAAGTTCCTGAGCTCAGTACCTACGTTACTCAGTACCTACATTAGGCAGGTTACTTAAAATTCCTGAGCTCAGTTTTCTCCCCCTGTTAAATAAGGGACTTGTAGTAGGTAATGACTTCCCTAGCATTCTTTCCATTTCTGAGCCATGCTGGCCCACTACCTATCAGCTATTAGTGAAAAATCTCTTCAGTCTGATGAGAGTAAGTAACTGTTAATATTTACGTAATAGTGAACCTGGAACTATGGGGCCAGCCAGTTAAAAATAGTTATGTAAGACCATAGGCGTTGCAGGAGGAAAGTTCTTTTTCCACTCTGCCAATTACTATTAATGCAGTCTGAGCTCAGTTTCCCTATCTGTGAAGAGAGACTAATAATTTCATTGTTGTATTAAAGAAAATTATATAAATCCAGCCCTAAATATATAACGTCTGGCACAAAGCAAAAGCTCAAAAGTATCCATTTTTAATAGTGTTATTTCCTTGGAACCACTGAAATATTACTCTTCTAATAGCATTTTCTCAAAACCGAGTATCAGCACTATTGTAATTAGAGTATGTAATGATTTTAAGGTGCCAATTTAGGCTGACTTGTTTTAAAATAAATTGAAAACATGGGCTCAGGAGATTTTTAAAAATTAAGCAGAACAACCTATGTGCTGAACTTTAACCTGTAGTTCTTTTATTTAATAAGTCTATTAATAAATACAACTTTAAGTTATTTGATTAGTACTAATATAAACCAGGCCAAACATGCCATCTAGCAGATGTGATAAACTTCATTGCCCACCCCACCCCCAAAACTTTAATGGTGTTTTGCTTCACTTTTCTGTTTGTTTTGAAACAAGATCGTGGGGAAGTTCTTAGTTTTGGTTTCCCATCAATAGATATTTAGTCCTTTAATTTTTGGTCATATGTAGATTATATCTAAATGCAAGTGAATGAGATAAAAATCATACTTAAATGGTAGAGATAAGCTTTCAAGGCTGTTTAAGTACTTTATAACTTAAAAACAATTGTTTAACTATAACAGAAAGGGAAGAAAATTCCCTCAAATGTGGGAAACCAGAGTTCTTTGCTATTCTCTTAACTACAGCAGGAAATATGTGTTTGTTTATTATGACCCTGGTGCTTCCATAGCCAGATTAACTTTCAAGCTCAGTTTTCATTCCCTTTAACCAACTACTGTCACCCTGCCTTGTGGAAACTGTTAATTTGCAGGGAGTTCAAGGAGAATACTTGTATAATTACTTGTAGTAGAGCTGGTCTGTCACCATCCTTGAGGATAGACCCCCAGTAAGGCCCCATGCATCTAACTGTTGGGGTCCCTATGGAGTGTGTTAATTAGTACACAGCATGATGCTGTGTCAACAGCATTAAAGGTAACTCTTAGAAACTATCAAATTTTATAACAAAAGAGTTCTAACTGCCTTTGTATATCTAAGAATGTTTCCCTGTTGACTTTAGGTTTCTCATTCATGAAATGTGAGGCTCAATTGATCAGCACCAGGTTGTGGAAGAATAATCACTTGTATTTCTGATACAAAGGTCTCTGCAAGATAAAGGGTTAGTGCACTATGTTCTATAGATAGCTAAGTAAAAACCTACACCATCTCATAAATCTTGAATGCCTGCATATTAAATATCCAAAGTTTATCAAGCCATTGTGTATACTTTTATTTACCCTATTAATTCAATTTTAAAAGCCTATTAGAATCTAGCTTATAATTTTATGTTCTACAATTCTAGTTCCTTTAATAGTTTATTGTTTGATTAGCTCAGGGAATTTCACTAATTTTAAAAGCAATTTAATGGATTGCATATTGAAAGGCTATACAACTTTCTAAAAATTACCCATTATGGGCATTAATGTGTCAAAAATTATTTAATCAGAAAGGGATTAGTAAGTGTATACACTTTACAGCTTCTAGGTCAAAAAATAACAAAAAGGGGGATTTAAAACTATCCCTAAGCGAGAAAGGATCTATGTCACAGCGTTGGTCAAAATGAGGTATCCTTATTTTGATCTCCTACCTGCAAATGATTTTTTTTCTGGGAGGGGTGGCTGGTGGTGGGGTAGTGATTTTAAAGGAAATTAGCAGTGCAGGATGTAAAGAAGTAGCCAAAAATGGTTTAGCAGAAGCCTGTATCTGGCAGAAACCCTGCTTTCTCCCCATTTTGTTCACCCTCAAACTTGCCAAGCCTTGTTCACTTTGGCTTTGTTTTAAAAATGCATTTCTGGTGAGTGAGAAAAGGATTTTGTACTGTGTTTTCAATGACTCACCCAAAATAACTCCATTCAACTTGTAAATGGTCTTGCTCTGAATGCAGATTGTGTTTGTTCTAAGATGGGCATGAAGGAACTGCAGAAGGGAGATTAGAGAAGGGAAATGTGGTGGGAGAGGCCAGTGCAGTTTATATTTATTCAGGTTCAGAAACAGAATTATTTTTAAGAAAAGACACTGTGTGTGTCTGTGTGTGTGTTTTGAAGAACTGTTTATGATATCTGTACCATTTAAGGCTATTAGATTCATAGTTCATCTAATCACCAACCTCTTTTTCTTCATCCTCATAAAATGTGCAAAAGGAGATTTTGCAAGTATGTGAAATCACCCACTTTTTTAAAATGTTCTAAATGGTTCCAAATAAGAAGTATTTGTGTGTGTGTACTAGAAATTAATCTTAAATTAGGAAGAAAGTGTATATCAACAAATTGATCATATAATAGGACAGTCTCAAAACTGGGAAATGCAATAATGACATACTCCTATTTTGGTGCTACTGCAGGAAAAAAAAGTTTAGTATCAAGTGACAAAGATTGAGCATTGGATATTTGATATTTGATAGCTATACCTCTTTAAAGACTTTTCTGATTAAAAATATTGGGGATCTTTAAAAACAATAGTTTAGGGTAGGACTGAAAATAAAAAAAAAAAAGCACTGACCTATAAACTTGACCATCAAGATTACAGATAAAAAAATTTTGACTTTCTCATGTGTAACTAAGTCCAGTGAAAAAGGTTTCAAAACCTCCTTTGAGTTGTTTCATGAATTCACGAAACAGACCAAGTAAGGCCTATTCTGTTACATAATCTTGTTTTATTCCATTGTGGATAAAGAAAAGATGACCCATTCTTACCTGTTGCTCAGAAACACCAGAGAATTGAGTGACTGAAAAGAAAACAGGCTGTCTACAATATTTTACCAAGAAAAGGATAAATTTAGCATAATGTGACAAACTGAACAAATAGAGATCTGGGAATTGTGAAATGAGTGATAAAATGACAAGTCTTCAGCATGCACAAAAACAAAAGTATATAAACTTATAACTCACCTAGATTATATAAACGATTTGCAAGACAAAGTTCCTGTGATCTTAACATCTTCTCCTTCTGGTGTGACTTGGGAAAATAAGGGAAATCAAAAGAGCAGGTCATTATGCTATATCCAAGCTTATTTATAAGAATAATGAACCAATCTAATAACCTCTGAATTTTTGCAATTGTAGGAAAACCCTAACAAGAAATAGGTTTAAATTATTAACCTTAAATATGCAGTTTATTACTTTAAAACATAAACAATAATCAAGATAAACCAGAAATACTTTAATGATTAATAATGACTTTAAAAAGAATATATCAAAAAACTAATCTATGTCAGACTAAACACCTTTCCTCATAGTTCAATTATTGATTTGTAAATAAATCTTTGAAAGTTTCTGAAGAACTCTACACTAGGTGACATTTTCCTTTCATTCTCTTTTCTCCTATTGTAAATAATTATAATATCTCTGGAAATCTTAATAGGTATATATAGAGGGGACTCACAAGATCTTATGTTGAAATGAATTTTAGGTACTGGGTTAAACATAGTTTAACTTTTTCAAATTAAAAAAAAATCCTTGAAGAACTAAATAGAATCTCATGTGTGGTATGGCATTCATTACTGAATAAATGAAACACGTTGGGTATTTAAGTCTCAAAGTTGAGACTACAACTAAAACTCCTTATCCTTTAAGGCACTATCTTGTTTCAAGGATTTCCTTCTCTACTATTTCCATATCGTCAACATTTTGCATTAAAAATGATCATGTATAAGAAAATATAAAGTTGCTACTGGAGATTCAACAATTGTTGTCCTCTATTTTAAGGGTTACCTGCTGGCATTTTTTTTTCCCTTTCCTTATTATTTGACTCTGATAGTTTGGTACTTTTACATTTTTGATGCTGGTAGCTTGGCAATTTTATACTTTTAAATATAAAATATGGTTTATGTTTGCCTTTCTCAAGAATTCTTGTCTAAAAGTGTATTTAAACAACAAACTAAATAGGCCTCGGAAAAAATGAGGCAAATATTTTATCCTTTTGACTGTTCATTCTATAGAACTTAAGGAACAGAAAATTTACTCCAAGAGAACTCATTGATTTTTGTGGGATCAGCGCAGTACTTAAAGTGTAAGGGTTACAAGAATATTAGTGAGAAAGCTCTTTAATTTCCCACACTTTGCAATCTAACTGGGCAGTTAAACATATCTTCTGAAGCCAGTGATATTATTTACTGCACAATTCAGTCCCCAAATAAATCATACAGCCTTTCAGTTGTCATCAGGGCAAGAGGTGGCCAGGAGTGGTGGAAACATGTGACCCAGGAAAAGTTTTGGCTCACTTGGATCCTGAACATCATGAAGGCATTGGACAGAAAGAACAGGGATGAATTGAGGGGTGAAGGCATACTAGCTAGCAATAGCATGTGGAGATGACAGAACTAAAGCTGGGCACAGTGCCTGGATGAAAAGGGGAAGACAGCATATTTTGTTCTTTGTGGCTTTTGACCGTGCTTTCAGTGCCTCTTGCACCCTCTTTCTCTCCTTTGCTCACCTGTCCTGCAAGGCAGCTAGAGCCTGGTCTTTTTGGAGGGCCATTACATCGTCAGCTGCATTTCTCTCCAGGACTCCAGGAGACTGTAAAGTCGTTATGATACCAAGAAATAATGAAATGGCAAGTCCATGAGATATCACTGTTGTAGAACTCTTACATTTCACAGAATAAATAAGGCCCAGGATGATATTATGAGGGCTCTGGAAAGTGATTTGGATTTTGGATATGATCTTGTGGCTATTAGTAAACCACGAGAAGTCTGTGACTGGTTTTGAATAGGATTTCATCATCTCTGCTGAGATTTAAAAAAATAACAAAAGGGAATGCTCAACCCTAGTTTTAAAACTGACGTCACGTTTCTTGAAGCACCGCGTGAGACCAAAATTCCAAGCAGCTTTTTCTGCATTTTCTGAGCTATCGCTTGCTCTAACTTCACGGTTGAAGTCGCAGATTAAATATTCTTCCTTAATGCATTTGCATACGTACCACAACCACCCTGAGAAAACGCTCTTAAGCATGCCAGTGGCACTGCGCGGAGCTTGGTCTTTTTCAGTTTTGACTAATTGACAAGAAACGCCAATTACGCGCCTCTTCCCTTCCACTCGATCCACCACTTCTCGGTCGCTAAACGCTCGACTGGGCAAAGCGACTTCTCACAGGCCCAGTTCAGCGAGCCCAAGGCGACCCTGGTCAGCCGCGGGGAGGGCGGCCTGTGAGACTCGGCCTTTCCATTTATGCCCGTTTCCGAGAGGGCCAGAGAGGCGGACAGGAAGAACCGGCACCAACAAACAAACACGCAAACAAACCGCGTCCCGTCAGCCAGCCCGGGCGAGGGGCGGCCCCGCCCCCGCCGCGCGCCCCGCCCCCGCGCGCGCCCCGCCCGCGCGCCCGAGCCGGAAGGGGGCGTGGACGCCGCCGAGGGAGGGGCGCGCAGACGCGCGGCGGCCGGCCGGGACCCGGACGCGTCGGGCGGAGGCGGGGGCGGGGGCCGGCCGGCGCCGGGCTCCGGGCAGCTCTCGCTCAGGCCACTCGCGCTCCCGCGCCGCGCCCGCCGGCTTCATGTGAAGCGCGGGCCCTCCGCCCCCTCCCTCCCCTTCCTTCCCTCCCTCCCTCCCGTCCCTCCTCCTCCTCCTCCTCCTCCTCCTCTCGCGCCCGCGCCGGCTCCCGATCTCCGGGGCCCCCAGCCCGGCCGGGCGCTGACATCACGGGCGGGGGTCCCCGCCGCGGCCGCCGCCTCTCGTGCAGGGTCCGGCTGGGCTGCGGAGCCCCCGGGGCGGCGATGGACCGGCCCCTGACGGCGTCGGCGGAGGCGGAGGAGGAACTGGAGTGGCAAGTGGCGAGTCGCCGGAGGAAGGCCTGGGCCAAGTGCCGCGGCTCCTGGCAGGCGTCGGAGGCTGAGGACCTGTCCACAGAGGCGACGACGCAGGACGAGGACGACGACGAGGACGACGACGAGGACCTCCCCGGCGCGAAGCTGCCGGCCGCTGCGGGGAGAGGTCGGTGCGCCGGGCCGGGCGGCGGCGGGCGGGGAAGTGGGGGCGCGCGCGGGCGGGCGGGGGACGGGCTCGTGCGACCGGGCGACTGCCCCGAGGTCTGGAAGGGCCACCCTGACTCGCCGGGGCGGGTGGCGCGGGGCGAAAGGAGGACACTCTCCGACCCGTGAGCGGGCGCGCTTGGCGGGGCGTCTCCGGGCGCTCCGGTGCCATCTGGTCTCCTTCCGATGGACGCTGGAGACGGGCTGCTCCGCCTGCGTTTTGTCCCCCGGGAGTTTTTCCTGCAGAGGAGTGTCCGGGTTGACCTCGCTGTCCCAGACCTCTGGGGTCGGTAACGCGCTGTCCCCTCGCTTTGCCCCGCAGGAAACGTGCCCAACGAGAAGATCGCGATATGGCTCAAGGACTGCCGGTGAGTCCTCCCCTCCCCGGCGCCGCGCGCGTCCCGGAGGCAGATCCACGCGGGCGGGACGCGGCCCCTGCGGGTCCCAGGGCAGCGCGAGGCTCTCGCCCGGGAAGTGAGCCCGCCGAGAGCTTCCTCCTCCGAGCCCGAGGCATGGGAGTGCGGTGGCTGCCGATTCTTTGGTGAACAACCCTGTGGGCTTTGCAGTTGTTAGGACCCCAGAGCCTGTCCATAATGTTTGCATCAGAGATCAGAAACGGAAGACAGATAATCATGCCATGTTATTTTGCTCGCCTAGTCTTTATTGCAGACGGTTTCCACATTCCATACCGCGTTATATTTTGTTTTGGTTTTGACGTCTGTACATCTGGCAACCGATCATTTTCCTGTCAGACGTGTTTTCTATCAGTCCATTTGCTTCAATGTATTGACTGGGCTTTAATTTTATTTTCTGTGCCATAATTCTGTTTGGAGAACTATTAAAACTAACTTTGTTCTTGTAGTTTACTTCTTGGACATTCGTCAGATGGCACTGGAATTCACAGAAGGGAAATAGAGCTTTGAAAGCATTCAGACTGCATAAATCTGTTTAATTACATGCTTTGGCAACTGTTAAAAAATGTTTGATGAAGTACAGAGGTGATGAGTCATACTGCAAGAAAATCTTGCTACAGTGAAATGTGCTTGTTTCATATTTTTATTTTTTCCCCTCAATTTGCTTCTTGTAAAATCTCGTGTGAAAATGTAGCTTTGTCACATTTTAAGGTTTTTGCTTCCGCACATTTTATTTTCCATCTCATTTGGGCATTCCTTAATCTTAAAGGACCAGATTTTAGAATTTTTGGGGGGAGTGGACATGGGGGGGGAATAAATACTTCCCAATTTATTTTTCTCCCCTGAAAACTAGATAAAATATTGGCCAATACTCTTACTCTGTTTTGACTAATTCCCTGGGGCCTTACTAAACAATCTTTACTACAGAACTTCTTAACCTGAGATAATGGTGAAATATATGGACCTTCTGTCTAAAGATGCACAGATGTAGATACACTGTTTGAAATCCTTGGAACCCAGATTAACAATTTAGCTCTAATGCAAAACCCTGATTGTTAAAAGTATAGGAGTATGGCCTTTGTTATTTGGTGGTTCCACTCAGAGCATGGATTAAGAAATCATGGTAGTGTGTCATTGGTTTATTTAGTCGTCAAACATCAAGGTAGTGTAAAATTTAATTGACATTTTAAATAAGCATATTCAGGATCTTTTAGGAAAGACCTTGTGAAACCAGTATCTTTCAGGTTTCCTCTTAGAAATGTGTCTGAAGAGGATTTGTTACTTTTACCCAAGCCTTTTAAAATCTTCTATTTTACTCTTGATTTAAATACAACTAAGTAGATTATTGATCTACTCAGAATCTTCAAATTGTCATTCAAAATAAATTGTAGTGCTTCATTGTTTAAGTTCAATTATGTGTTTTGAAGAATTAAACAAAAATTTAACAGCAAGAGAAGAATAACATTTCTGTTTGATTATGTATAGGAATGAAGATTGTGTAAGAGATCATGAAAAATAGAGATTAGTGCATCTTTTAAGATAAATGCGTGAGGCAAATGTTAGCATTCACCAGAACACGTCATCCCTGAAAATTTCGGAAGTTTTGTTGCCAATCTTGATTTATGTAGGTGGATTGTATATTCTGTTCCTCCTTCCTTTATAGGTTTCCTCCTTGTTCCCTACAGTTGCACCTTTTCTGTACAAAAGGGGCATTCACTTGCTTCAGGGAAAGCTAGAACAAATAGTCTTTTAATGTCGGTTATGTTATCACAGATTTGACTGCTAGGCAATATGCAACTGTATTCTCTTTTTATATAGAAACTTAGGATACTTTCTAGAGTTGGGTATGTATTATTTTTGTAGATTTTATACAAATGATCTGAAGATAACATTTTTCCCCTGATTAGTTTTCAAATAGTCTTTTTCTTTTTGCTCTCAATATCCTAAATACCATGCTGTCTTTTTTTAAAGGGAGTCTTTATTTTGATAACCTTTTTTTTTTTTTTTTTTTTTTTTTTGGCTAAGTGAAAACATTGCTTGAATTAGCACTTAAGAAGGGATAGGGCTTTTGATAGAATTTGTAAAAGAGCTATTAAAAAGTGAGAGACTTGTTTTTGAAGAATGCCAGCTAGATTCCGCTTGTCATTTTCTGTTAGTACACAGACTAGTAGAGACATCCACAGGAGGAATAATGTTTTGTCTTAATTAAGAAAGTAGCCACCAGGGAAGAAAAATAAAGAGTTTTATTAAAATATATGTAAAAACTTAACTCAGAGGTCATTATGGTAGTTGCTTATGATTTTTTTACATTTTAAATGTACTAATTTTTAAAGAACTGCCATTACTTGTATATTCACTTGCAGAAAGTTTTAGCATTTAATTGGCATTTCGGTAATTCTTTGAAGTTGATATTTTTGATGATTGATCCCATGTGTGGTGTGAATTTGTAACAGGTATAGACTGTTACTGATGAAAAGTAGTATAACAGAAGAGAACTTTCAAAGTAAAACATTTCAGACTTAGGGTTGTACTTTTTACTTTAGTTTTGAGGAAAAAATGCATTTAAAAAGAAATCTATAAAAAAGATGTTATCATTATCTTTGAGCTGAAGAATGTGAAAGAATTTGAGCAATGGCTAGTTCATGATAAATGTTTTTCCAGCTGACTGTATAGTAATACTCTTTTTCAAGTTAAAGAAAACTGTCATTGGGTATAGTTGGCGTGAAGGAGGCAGTGTGTAGTGCTATAGAATGCTAGTGACAGACTTATCAGATGAAGTTTAAGAAAATTGTTAAGTCTTCTATCTAAACTCTGACCTTCTAATTTTACTAAGGAAAAGATTTGTTTTCTTTTAATTTTGTTTCCTGTTTCTAGGGAAGGGTTTGAGGGGAGCAAACATTTTCGTAATGCCTGTCCTTATTCTCTTTTTCTACTTTCGTAAAGAAAATACAATTCATATCTTTGTAATTTGTCATTCTTATTCTTAATTGCTGGCAGATCAGACATGTGATTAAATCATTCTGGGTGAAACTGACCTGACAATAGGTATTTGCTTAGTTAGTAGGTTATTACTTACGTAATCCACTTGCATTCCATATGTGTTTGGGAGGAGAGTTATGATTAGACGCTTGCTTAACTACAACCCTTTAAGTGTAAGGCTGTGCAGTGAAAGCTCTCCAGACAGCTTTTTAAAACTAAGGCTTATGTTTATGTGGTTGCAGTACCCCTTTGGGAGCCTCGCTGGATGAACAAAGCAATAGTACACTCAAGGGTAAGAGAAAGTTGCCTTTCTAAATGCGTTCTTTATGAGGGACTGCTTCATTTGTCTTCTGAATATATATTTGTCCTCTGAATATGTATTTTGTATATATGTATAAAAAAACTCATATGTGAGTTATAAAGGTGATATTCATGTTTAAAAAAATCAGCTCTTGTAAAGACTAGAAGGTAAAATGGAGAAATGTTGTCATAGAGTGGTGAGTTTAAGCAAATTCCCCAACTTTTCCACAATGTGAAACTCTTATTTTTTTATTGTTCAGTTGGATATTATAAAGACTAATTTAATGTAAAAATATGGCATGTAAACATAAGGAAGATACATATTAACTAGGGCAACTTAGTGCAGCATTTCTTTGCTTATGTTAACTGAAATTGCCACACCTGAAATTTTACCACCTGTGCAAGACAGAATTTTCAAGTTCAAAGTACAAGAATGTGCAGGTAGTGGCAAAGTATATATAAAAAAAAAAATTCACAATATGGGAAAAATCTTGCTTGAGCTTCTGACTTAATATGGGGAGGTTAAAGGAATAATTATTTCAGGATCTGGTTTTCCATGAAACTCTTGGTAAGATATGTTTTGTTAGTGAAAGTATAGTAGTATAAAATATCCTATAGATTGGTTTATTGTAACTTTACCTGACTGCACAGTATGGTTTCTGTATGTTAAAGTAAAAGCTTATACCTTCTTCTTGAAATCATATAATCAGAATAATTTTTGAGTACATTTAGATCTGCAACACTACTGTATTTTATAAAATACTATGCTTGGTCAATTTATTTTAACTAAAACAATGATTTTATATGGAAGTAAGAAAAACAAAACTAAGATGAATCTTCAAATGTTTCAGGTGTGCTTGTGAAAAATGGAGGAAGTTTTGAAGATGATTTGTCATTGGGAGCTGAAGGTATGTTTGGAAGAACTGTGTTTTCATGTAGTTTTACAGTTAAAATGAAATGAGAAAATCTAGTGCTTTCAGATTTACCATACTCAGAGCTAAATTTAAAATTCTTAAAAATGGCTCAAATATATTTTACGAACTTATTATGTGTTAATTAACTAGTCAAAGCCTATAGAATATATGTAGAATGGCTCTGAAAAACCATTATGAAATGGCCATATGTCTTCCTTGGACTTTAGTGCTTAAAGGAACTGTTGGGGGCAAACATGGTAATATAACTGAGGGAAGAATTGTCCCGCAAAAGGAAGGAAGCTTAAATATTTACAATGAGAAAACTAAATTGAAGCTTATTTTTAGTGTGAGGTACATAGCCTTATGTCAAACTTACAGCTGCAGCTTGTCTTTCTCTTTGCTCTTGTCTTTTCCTCTCCTTCTTTAACCAGATATTTAAAAGATTAAAGGATAAAAATAATTATTAGAATTTAATCAGAAACCATTATGCTGATGTCTGTTCCCATCTGCGTTAACATTTAAAGAATATATTGTACTGTTTAAAATTTCACACATTGTATAATCATCCTGTGGCATCGTGTTAAAACTATCCACAATATAAAGTTAAGATTTTTTAAATTATTTTATAGTTATTTTAAAATTACTGGTATATAGCTAGGTTTTTAGCCTGTGCTTTTTATAAAAAAAAGAAATAAGGATTTTATCAAATCTGTTTAAATTGAATAATGAATTTATCTGCTGAATTTAATGTCATTGAGCTCTTGGTGTTTTAAATCAATCTTATAATAATCATTTCCGTAGAACCTTCTAACATTGAACTATCTAGAATATGTGAATATATTAGTATTTATCATTTCTGTTAATGTGTTTTTGTGAAAATAAACTCTATAAAGAGTGTAAGTTAACTGCCTCCCAATCAACACATTTAATTATGTTCTCAATCCCTTATTAAAAAGCATTTCACTTTTGATATCTCCCTTAGTAGTTTCACAATATTTAGGGTTTTTTTGAGCAGTTTTAAGTTTACAGAAAAATTGAGGGACAGGTACAGAGATTTCCCATAAACTCGCTGTACACATATGTGTATAGTCTTCTCCACTGTCAGTATCACCAGACTGTGGTGGATTTGTTACATTGATGAACCTACATTGTGGTGTCTTAATTACCCAAAATCCATAGTTTACATTAAGATTCACTCTTCTTCTTGTACATTCTGTGGACAAATATATAATGACATGTACCCATCATTATATCATACAGCATATTTCTTCCTTAAATATCTTCTGTTCTTCTGTGCTGTGCTTGTTTATCCATATCAAGTGATTTTATTGGAAACCAGAACCTAAAATGAAGTCCCATAAACGAGTGGAGCTACTCTGTTGTTTACTGAAAATTATTTCAAGATTATTTTCAACCACAGTAAATATTTATTGAGTGCAAAGTGTTAGCCACCTTTATGGTGTACATAAAAAGAAACATAAGAAATTGCCATGACTTTGCAGGTTAGAAATGAACAAAAAGCCAATGTGCTGAAATAGATATGTTTGTAAATAATTCTTACAGTGGTCTATAAAGATTAAATGTAAATTTAACACTAACAGTATTTGTCTGTTTAGAACCTGTAAAGCTAGCTAGGATAAAGTTGAAGGGCTATTTTTAAAAGAAAACTTTCATTGTAATTAGTAGAAATTTTCAAAATATGTACATGAAAAATTAGTTGTACCTGGAATGGATTTTCAGCCTTTAAAAAAACTACATTAGAAATGTATGTGTATTCTATTGCCACACTTAAATCATACTGTTTGTTATATTTTGCTTTTTAGGTATTCTTTAGTAACAGCATTTAAGTATAATTATTAGAACCACATATGCGCTATAGCTTCCTCTTACTACTTCTAAATTGTTAAGGAAATTCAATTGGTTATCTTTGTCTTTTTACTTTAAGCATTCAGGTGGAATAATTAGTTTTACATTGCTAAAAATAAGAACACCTCCAAAAAAGTACTGGTTCTGTTCTTATCGGTGTAGTGTATTACTTTAATGACACAGACTTAATGAACCAAGACAGGAGTTTAGCATATTAGACAATAATACTGTGGTTAATTTGTTCTCTTAATGATTGCATTATGTAGTTATTGTCGTACTAATTGTGATGTGCATTTATTTTTTTTACCTGTAGCCAACCACCTCCATGAAACTGATGCTCGAATTGAAAACTGGTATGTAGCTGTATTTGTTCTCTATCTTTTTAAAAATGAAGAATATTTATGAAAATAAGGTTTAATATAATCCAATTTTGTTTATAGCAGTAACATCTTGGCCAAAGAGAGAAGACTACAGTTTCATCAGAAAGGGAGAAGTATGAATTCCACTGGATCTGGGAAAAGTAGTGGGACAGTCTCAAGGTAACTTATTCTGAAATGATGGTACAATTAAGTTGTGTTATAGATGACCTGCTCGTCACTGTTTAAGTTTTAGATTTGTCCTGGTAGTATGCAGTTATTAAAAGGATTTCAGAGTGTTTCATGAATCAGCATAACTCAGCAGATTCTTTTTTTTTTTTTTAAATAAGGTTAAATTAAAAGCAACAAATATATTTATAGTGCGGCTGAGGATTAGTCAGCATTTTGAGCCTCATCACCACCTTGAAAGAACGCCATAGTGGAGCAACTTTTGCTTCCAACATTCTCCATTTTATTAGGATATTAAATTACTCTGACATAAGAATCAGGATAAGCCTTTCTAATTTAAAGCTTGATATTCAAACAAAGATTTGTTTTCATCATATTAAACCAAAGGTCTTTATATATATACTAAAATAAGCAAATGCATATGCCTGTGGAACCAATTTAAACTGTTAAACCAAATTGTTATATTGGCCTTCTGTTCAAATTCCATCTCTAACTTTCCTATTTTCCTCAGTGAGTCTGAGAAAGCTTAGATTATCACTGGTATGAATGATGATATGATAATTATGGCATAATTTAATTCCCAGTGGAATTAGAGCAAGGTGTTGCCTTTGTGAGACCGATACTCTCCTTAATTTACTCCTCCTACTTCCTCAGTAGAAAACATTAGAGAAAAGTTGGAGTAGATAGACTCCTCCCTCAGGTCTAAGATCAGGTTGTTACCTGTATTGGCTCTACTGAGGGACAAAGAGAGCAGAAAAACTGAAGTTCTCTAGAATATCCCTTAATTCTAATGTTCTACCAACTTTCTAGTATACTTTTCCTTGTCACTTCTACTTTAATCCATTTCTTATTTTTCCTCATATGTCCTCCTGTGGTTTTAGCTACTTTATTGAGAATCTCTTAAAATGACCAAAAAAATAAGGTGAGGAATCAAAGAGTCTCTAGTGTGTTGTTAGGGGTTAACTTTTTTACCCAATACAAACAGCCTGAGAGAATGGACTCTATTAAGTGTTATATTTCACATTTAGCATGTACTATATAAAGATGTTGAAGTAATGGTTTCAAGAACAGAAACTATAGAAATATATTTTATCACTGGAAAGAACATTAATTCACGTATTATGTGAGGTGTATTATAAACTGATTTTATCTTGATGTTTCTTTTTTTTTCCCCTTCTTTTGTAGTGTTTCAGAATTGTTGGAACTTTATGAGGAAGATCCTGAAGAAATTCTTTATAACCTTGGATTTGGACGCGATGAACCAGATATTGCTTCAAAAATTCCTTCCAGATTTTTTAATTCATCATCATTTGCCAGAGGGATAGATATTAAAGTATTTTTAAGTGCTCAGATGCAACGGATGGAAGTAGAAAATCCAAATTATGCTTTAACAAGTAAGGGTTTTAAATGTTAGCATATTCTTTTAAATTGCAATACCCACAGTGAGATCTTATTTTTTTGAAAATTTTAATTACTGAGGCTAATTAATTAGCACAATAACATTTACTTATTCTGAATTTTTATTATCCTGTTTATAGAAATTAATTTACCTGTTCTTCCTTTCTTTCCCACATCTTGACTTAAAAGTGTTGTCATGGCTTATTCAAATTTATCTCTTAATTGCTGCTGTTGAAGAAGAGAAGAAGTAGGGAAGGGGCCTGTTACTATCAAATGAAGTCAGTCAGTTTTAGACGCTTCTCTGTAAATATAAAACACATGATTATTTTATTAATTTAATCATTTTTATTCACATTGAGCCTTGCTTATTTTTTACTGTTGACCAGAAGTTCCAAAAAATGATATCATTGGGTAGTCCTTGGATCAGCTTTAACAGATCAGAAGTCTTTTCCCCAACTTCCCTCAGTTAGGACTAAAATATCGATCTCTGTTCACTTTACTAGGAGCATGTTTGAAAAAATCTTAATGAAATCTGAGACCTAAAAACAGATTCATAACTGTAGATCAATAGCTAGTCTTTTCTATACAGTCTTGTCATGCTTTGTGCTTCATTCTGATATATTCAAAGGTAAATTCTGGTGTTCAGAGTGGAAAGTCTTCTTCCCTCTCCCAGTAAAATAGAGAAGTTTTAAATGTCAGATGCGGGGGGGATATCTGGTTTTATAATTTTTGTAATTGAAGTTCAGTTATTGGAATTCTAGCAATAATAATGATTTAAAATAAGTGTGTATGAACACAGATATATATGTGTGTGTGTGATGTGTGTATAATCTATTTTTTTTTTTTCTTTTTGTAGGCCGTTTTCGTCAAATTGAAGTGCTTACTACTGTGGCCAATGCATTTTCTTCTTTATATTCCCAAGTCTCTGGGACTCCCCTGCAGAGAATTGGAAGTATGTCCTCAGTGACCTCTACCAAGGAGACAGACTCCCCTCCACCTTTAACCCGAAGTAACACTGCAAATCGTTTAATGAAAACACTATCAAAACTAAATTTATGTGTTGATAAAACAGAGAAAGGAGAAGGTGGTGGTAGTCCTTCTCCAGCAGTTGAAAAAGGAAAAGTTACGAATGTTTCAGTGAGTGAAGAAAGTAGCAATAAAAATGATCCAAAGACTCAAAAAATTGTAAAGAAAAAAGACTCATCTTCTATGTTGGCTACAGTAAAAGAAGAAGTTTCAGGTAGTTCAGCATCTGTCATGGAGAATGCTGACATTAATAAGCTTTCTCATGAAGCAAATAGTAATTTTAATCAAGAAACTGAAAATGAACAAAGCAAAGGAACTCAAAGTCATGAGAATAAACTGGGTGAGGAATCTGTTACTATGGAACCTGATGTAGGTGGGTTCCACATGCCCAGCCATAGTGAGCTGGAAAATAGCAGTGAGCTGAAAAATGTCCCCATGTCCATACCTGAAAAAGAACCATATGCACCACCGCTGACAATCCCATCTATAAGAAATATAATGGCACAGCAGAAGGACTCCTTTGAAATGGAAGAGGTAGGTAAAAAATTACTGAGGCCTGTTTAAATTGGGGGAAAAAGTGCCAAAAATAGTTATAAAATGAAAACTGACTATGCTAGAAAAAGTCACCCTAATTTTGACTTTCCAGGTTTTTTTTATTTTGTATTTCACAAAGCAAGAATTGGTCACAGGATACTGTGATGTTAAGGTAATGTGACAGCTCCTCAGCTTTTCTGGATTCTCTTGTCATTTACTACTGGCACTTGAACTTTAACCCCCTTTCTCTCTGTTTAAGATTTTCATCCCCTAAGAAAGTCCTTCCAGAATATTTTCAAGTTCAATTAAATATTGCATAATAGTTAAAAACATAGGCTCTGAAATCAAACGGGTTCAAGTTCTGTCTCTGCCCCTGAATTGCTGTGTGCCTTTAGTCAAGCTTTTCTTAAAGTATTTCAGTAGAAAGGATAAGTTTAAAGAAGGCAGTTGAAGACAGATTTGGTTATGGGAGAATAGAGGGGGAAGCCTTGAAGGAGGAGCCTTGAAAGGCTACTATCAGGGCTTCTGCAGAGAAAGACCATTGTTTGGTTGGTTCTTATTGTTCTGTGACAATATTCCTGCAACTAAAACTGCACTTGAATTCTCAGAGCTGATAAATTCTGTGTTGAAATTGTATTGCTTGGGGCAGGAAATTGAAGTTTATCAAGCACCAATCTTGTGACAGGTACAGTATTAGGCCCTTGAAGTATTTTTCTGTTTCAGTTGTGAATCAGGCAGTAGTGTATCATTTTACCCATGAGGAAGTTGAAACATACATGCTAAAGAGTTGAGGCTAGCTACATATGTTACATAATGGGTAGGTTTTCTTTTTTAAACTTGTTACCTAAAAGTTTTGCTACTTACAGTAGTTTTAGGATTACATGCCATTATTTTAGGGAATTGGAAAACAGGATAATTGATTCTGCCAATAAATGTCCTGTTAGGTATTTGTCACACTGAGAAGATTTTTACTTTATTGCAAAATTTCAGTTGCTGAGGTGGCTATTTACCTTTTCTGTAGTCTTCGAATGTGTCTTAATACTTCCAACCGAAAACTGAAGTCAAGAGAGATCAGGACCAGCCATTTAAAATATTTCACATTATTTTTAATCTTTTTCCTTTATTTCTTTATGTTTTTATACTTCTATTTAATGCCTCATATCATTTCTCATGAGATAAATTTGGGAAATGACTGCTTTATGATGGCTACTTTAATTAAACCTTTATGTTCCATTAACTGAGTACTTTTTTGAGTTTGTTTTGGTCTAAACTTTAGCACTTAAAATATAAGTTATTGCCTTAGCCTCTCTCTTTTGTCAATCAGATATGACAGTTAGTTTCCTTATTTTAGTATAATAGTAGAGTATAAAATTAAAATGTTACATGCAAATCTGGTATCAGTGACTGATGAGAAGGTATTCTTACATGTTGTTTTTAATATCTAGAATTCTTGAATTCAAAGCTGTATTCATACTACATACATAGGATCTTTTAAATGTTTATATTGTGCCACATAGATGCCCTTTGACAGCCAGTTAACGGTGAATTTTTTTTTTTGCTCCCTCTACTGGCAAAAGCAGTGAAGAAAGTAATAAGACATTGAACTAAACAATTGTTTTTTTGAAATACATGCTTTGATGTTTGAAAAATAGTGGAAGATTTTAAAAGTAGAATATATGATCTTACCATAGCTACATTGTAAATATGGAGAATTTTTTCTTAAGATATATTTAAAGTATGGATTAAAAACCTCCTCCGAGAATTGTTTTCATCCCTTGGGGAACTTTAAAGAGAACTGGGGAACAATGGATAAAGAAGGGAAATAATGTGTTTCTTTAATTTCCTCTTCCCCCAAGTATGATCTGAATCATACTGACATGAAGAGAACAATTTTGTTGAGGCAAATTTTTAGATTCCATTCAAAGTAGGCTGTTACTGGTTTTCTTTTGTACCCCTTTCCCTTGAGATTTGATTCCTATTGGCTAGCTTTCTTCCTGTAAAAACAGAAAATAAATATACCAGAGTGTACATGCTCAGTAAGTCATTCCTCAGGTAGATGAACTTATTGCCAGCTGCTTTGGGCAACTGGGGGGAGAAAATGATGCAGACAAGCTCTGCATGAAGCTCCAGACCCCTCTGGGGCAGAAGGTAAGATCTGACAGACTCCAGGAGCAAAGAGGGGGAATATTTCAATGTGAAGGCAGTGAAATCGGTGACAGGCTTGACCCAGACCTTGGAGAATGAAAGTGTTTCTCATGTTAAAAAGGAAGGGCCAGTTTATTTTCAATTAACTGAATATGCCTATAAAAAGTTTGTAGAATGTTTAAAAATGTTTCGGTGTATCTAAAAGTTGTACATCTCTACTTTTGAATTTCCTAGTTCTTAATAACTAGCCTTAATAATTCTTGTGTTTTTTTTGAAATTACTTTCAATAAATACATCATGGTAACTCTTTAGAGTCATAGATTAGTGTTAGAAATGATTCACATTTAAACCACAATGTGATCCTATTCAATAAGCATTATTCATATTTTAGATGTAAAGAAAAATGTTAGAGGAAGTATTTTTATCTGTTTCTGTAAATATATTGTTCTCTATGCTATAAATGAATTTATATTCAAATATAGGTATTAATGAATGTGCGCATATTTTTATAAACTACTAAAGTTTTAGTAACTATAATCCTCTTTACACTAATTTTTTTATTTATATTTTTAATAAAGGGTTTTTTTTTAAAGATTTATTTATTTTTATGCATACAAGAGCTGGGGTACAGGCCAGAGATGCGGGGGTGGTGAGAGGATCCACCAGAGACCGAGTGGGGAACAGAACAGGCAGACTGACTAAAATACACCACTGAGGGGAGCAGCGGGCGAGACAGAAGAGGTCTGCCTCGCCATGTGGGTTTCTCCCTGGCCAGCTGGGGATCGAACTTGTGCTGCAGAAGCTACGGATTGCTTCATATGTGGTGCTTAATCCCCTGCGCCACCAGGGAGGCCCTACACTGATTATTAATTTAACAATTGTCAATAACATACCTCATTACTTATTTTTAGCTATTAAGTTTCAGGATTCTTTTTTATTTATGGGTTTAAGTTAAAACAATTACCATCAGTAAGGTATTTGACAGATGGTTGTTTATTTAGCCTTTAACATCTGTCTGTTTTGAAGGCAGATAATATGTCTGTAATAGAATATAAGCTCTAAAAGATGACATGTGCTTGGATGTCTGTTATTTCACAACAGTTAAATGCTGTTTTTGCTGTTTGCTATTTATCTAAGAGAATGAGGTCAACATTTTTTGACATTAAAAGTAAACTGTGTGTGTGTGTGTGTATAAAACTTGAAAGGTTTTATTACAAGGTGCAATTTTCAAATAAATATAGAATAGTAAACTACAACAAAATGGAACTTTGAATTATTTTCGGTTTTCTCCCTTTGCAGATGAGGTAGCATTTATCCCCAATCTTTCTGAGGATATAATTTCCAAGAAATCATATCAATGGCTTACAGGGGCACCAAGGAGAAGGGCAGAAGGATGTCAGAAAGTGCTCTGCTGTTGTAAATCTTTACTGTTTCAGAATACTTTACAATCACAATTTGATCAACCTGTGTCATCCTTAGAAGTTTTAAACCTTACTCTGCAGTTAAGAAAACTGAGTGGCATGAATAAAACTTAAGTTCAGATCTTTGTATAAAGACTACATCATACAGCTTGCTAAATGTCAGATTGGTTGATAATATCAGACATTAGATAAGAAATCATGTCATCTGATGCAGACAGCCCCATACTACCATTTTGGAAAAATAATGCTTCCTTTTGAATTTTTGGAGATGTACTTAATAATTACACAGAATTATAATTTCTAAAGCTTCCGTGCTGATTTTTTTAATGAAGTCATATTTCATTATAACATGTTTATATTTCAGGTGTATATCACTGAAAATCAATTTGTATATTAATAATTGATTTTCTTTTTTAAAAACTACTATGCAATGTCTCTTAAACCTGAGAAGAAAGGTTATTTTTGTGACAACATGCATGCTATTGGTGTGTAGAATGCAATACAGTAATTTTGTGCTAAGATAGTGTATCTTGGTGAAGATAAATGTTGCAAAGCTTAAGTCAAAGTCAGTACCTGCCATGTAGGAGGACATGGATCAAAAAGATAACTGCTTTTACTAACACATTTTTTAACTGAAGTAACCTAAATGTATGGGTTATTCTAAACGTGTTTTCATATGTCTTTAACTCTCCAAACATTAGGACCAAGCACTTTTATTGTTTTGGTATCTTGGTGGTCTTTTTAAAAAAAAAAAATATATTACTCAAAATTTCATACTTGACCCAAAGATTAAAAAAAAATCACATAAGGAACTGCTATGACCCATCACTCAACTTAGTCAGCAATTTTTAACAAATATTAATCATGAAAGGCAACCTATAGCTAGTGACCAGAGTTTTACTGAGATTTTAAGACCAAACAGGGGAAAAATTATGCCACATAAATCTGTTCCATATTTCCTTCATAATTTTCTACAGTGCACCCCATCTTGAGTTTTATTACTTTACTTCGTGCAGTTGTGACCTATTATCACTAGTATGGCTCTTTCTGATACCAACAGTGATTGATGATTTTGCTGAATAAATAGGGAGAACATTGATTTTAGTAGTTTTATTAGTAAACTGTAACTCTCATCTCTTTCAATTAAATATGTATCTTTTTTCAGTTATGCAGTTTATGAGAGCAGAATATTATTATCATTATGCCAAAGAGTAGCATCTTGAAGGTAGTATACTGAGGATAAGTATTCATCAGAAGTCTTGTTACTGGGTGACTGATTTTTATAACTCCAAAGAATAGAATGTAATAATTTAGTATTTTAAAATGAGATTGTAATTTGTCTATCATAGTGCAATGCTTAATCTGAGTGTCTTAGAATGTAAATAAAAATGCACTTGGATTCCTATTATACTTTTTGGTCTATTTCATATTTATTTTGCAGAAAACTCTTTGAAATAGGCTAGATCTGATTGGGAGACTAATACAGTCTTTTGTTGAATATTAAAAAAAAATGGCATTTTGTTTCCTTGCACAGAAAAACAATGGTTTTCCTGTTGAACTTGTTATTCCTGCTTTGAAGAATATAATATGATAATTTTCAATAATAACAAAGAATAGTAGAAACTATTTTACATATGATTTATAGATGATGGTTTTAAATAACCACTGTGGTTTCAGTTTTCAAAAGAAGCATAAACTTGGATCCATGAAACTGTGTGGAACAAGGATATCACAAATCAGAGCAATTTTTAAGTTACATAATAACATCTGTAACCTTTGAGCTTCTGTCCATGTCAGTCATTCTACTCCCATTTCAATGGAGTATTTTCTTATTCTTGAATGAACCATTAGCTCAGAAGTACTACCTAAAATCTGTTGGCTGCTTGCTCTCAGTTTTGCTCAAATTTGAACACTTATGTTTGGCTAATTTTCCCACTGTACTAGGATGTTATTATTTTAAGTGTCTAATCATTACCTAAAGTGTTACAAATTATTATTACCCCCTCCCCACCCAAATGTTTAATTTTAATACAGAGTTAAGTAAGCTAGAATAGATAGACTGTGGTAAATAAGGAACCTAAATATTCTTAAGTTACATAGTTACGCAGGGAGGAAAATAATGCACAAAAGACAACTTTTGTGGCTACCTTTTCTGAACATGATTTTCAGGGAGGATTTATGGTGAAGGTCTTTCAGTTTTAGTTCTTTAATGAAACCTACGTTTCCACTTCCAGCTCCCAAGTTACGTCTTAAAAGAACATTTAAGTTAGGCAAAGCAGTGCTACACATGAGTGGTTTGTGGTATTTTATAAAGTTGTATGATGGTAGCGGTGTGCCAGTTTTCAGAAATGCAAGATGTGTAATTGCCTCACCTCTGGGTCAGTCACGGTCTGTTGAAATGAATGTATTAATATTTCTCCTGGGATAGATCTTACCCTTTCACTTGTAGAGAGCTTTTCTTTTGCATATATTTTTCATTTAATGATAACTTAACAAAAAAAACAACTAGCTTATGCATGTAGTCATTTTTCTTTGCTAGTTACAAACTTAGAGCACTACTGATAACTATACTGTAAAATGGATCATACAATTGAGGTGTAGGATATTCCAACAATTTTGAAATAAAATCACTTAAAAAAATAAAGCTTTGGTACACTTTCAGATTGATCTGCTTATTAAGAAATAATTATCAAGAGGTATTGTTCTTTGCCATAGATTTGATTCTTTCAATTGTGGCCATTTGATTCTTCTAGTTTTAACACTTAAAACTGTTCTTTAGGTTCAAAGCACAGAGGGAGAAGCTCCCCATGTTCCAGCCACGTATCAGCTAGGTCTTACCAAGTCAAAAAGAGGTAAGCAAACCAATATCTGCTATTTCCTGAGCATTTTACCAAAGTGGTAACAGTTGATTTAGAAAAGGAGTTTTAGCTATCTGTACTTATAAGTATAAAAAGAAAAACAACATGATGCTTCTTTATGGTTTGCTTGTAGAATTTTTTGTATTGAAGACTTTTGTGCCATATATATAACATTAATTTGCTTATCCTGCGATGATCTAGTTACACAATTTTGTATACTCTAAATATTTTTCAGTTCTGCATAAGGGCTAAATAGGAAGATTTAAAAAACAATAGATTTAGGAATCTTTTTTGCATTGTTATGATTGAAACATACATTTGCATTAGTCATTTCTGGATTTTCATTATTTAAATATGACTCCTAGGTATAAAACAGGAATATGCCTCTGGCAATAAACCACAAATCTCTCTCAGCAGCAGTTAAAGCTAGTTAAGTTAAATTCAAACTGTGGATCAAAGGTGAGTTAGATATCATTCTTCTCTTAAATTATTAATTATTGACCAAGAACCTTTGAATCCATTCCTTTTATTTTTAACTTGCATGAGAAAAACCATGCAGCTCTTCCTTAATGTTACACAACTTTTGAGATTTAAAAAGAAAGAGAGGAAGTAAAGAAGTTCAAATGACCACTAAAGGTAGGACCGTTTTTTTTTTTTAAAACTTTATCCATGCTGAACCACTGTGGTTTTTTAACAAATATTCAAATACATTCCTAGAATAGGAAATTATGTATGTTCTCCTCTCATTACTAAAATGAATTCACAAGAGACAATGTGCACATGATTTTTCTTTATTGCAATATGCCACTAAGAAACAAGAATTCCACTCTCACTACATCACTATAGCTTTGGTCAGAAACAAATGATCCTTCCTATTTAATGTTCTTTCCCTTGTAAGTCCACAACTGCATGTATGTTTTTACGCCATAAGGGAGATATGGCAGTTACCACTGAATCTTTACTTTAGATAGGTAGGGAGGGGATAATTTGGAGGAATCAATTTGCCCCTTTTCTACAGGGTATAAAACAGTATAATTACATTAAGATCTTTCAAGAGCAGTTTTCCTGTAGTGGGACAGATAGAATGTGGTTTGTATTCATATCTGTGTATTTTTTTTTCCTTTAATTGATATTGATACTCATATTTATGGGGCATAAGATGCTAACATTTTTATGAATCACATTTTTATAAATTAACAATGGTTGTGTGTGTGAAAGAGAAAGACAAATAGTGTTTTAATTGTTTTTGAAAGTATCTAATTTTGATAATGTGATATATAAGTATCTTAGATTAATCATAGTTGCAGAATTAGATCACTGATTATTCTGTTCACAAGTTTAGTGAAAGACATATAGTACATGCATAAAAACATTTTAGTAATATGATTTTTGAAATTACAACATCTTAACCTCAAGTGTAGTCCTGGGATTTATACAGAAGCCCAGAGAGGTTTAGTGACTTAACTCATGTCACAAGCTAATATTCAGTAGATTTGCTGAGAACAGACCAACATTTTTCTTATCACAGAAGACAAACAATATTTTCTTTAGTCTATCAGAGTATACCTGTGTTCTATTTTGTGTTTTTTTTTAATCATACTAAACAAAATTTTCAGATCTCTTTTCTCACTTTAATGCCTGCTCTAGCTTCCAACGTTATTAGAAATAATGCCTTATCTCTTCAATAAGGATGGACAGCCAGTATTTCTCAGTTCTACTTTTTTCTGTGGAGAACTGTTTTCTATAGACCTGTTTTCTAAAGAGCTATATTCTGGTTTATACCTCACAGAATAGTTTCTTATACATTCATCTTAGTTCCTGAAGTAGCTCTTTGAAATAGGAGAATTATTAATTGTTTTTGAAAGAGAGAGGGATGTTACTGCTTATGGCATTAAAATTGGAGCTTAAACCCAGGCCTCCTTGTCCTCCATTGCATGACACCTGCTCCGAAGCCTGCCCTAACCTGTGTGAACTCAGAAAGCTAACCACAGACAGGGTATGTGGCAGAAACTGTATTCTGATGTAAATAAAACAGGTCCTAGCTGAGAGAATCTGAGTGGAGTTGGTCACTCTGGCTTCCCTGGACTTTCTTGACAACTGTTTTACCCAGCCATCTGGGCAGTTTCTCTCTCTTTTTTCCCAAGATTTACTTATTTTTATGCATACAAGAGCTGGGGTACAGGCCAGAGGTATGGTGGGGGGGTGAGAGGATTCACCAGAGAAGGAGTGGGAAACAGAACAGGCAGATGGACCAAAGTACACTGCTGAGGGGAGCAGCGGGTGCGTCAGGAAAGGACTGCTGTGCCATGTAGGTAGCTCCTGGCAGGCTGAGGATCAAACTCATGCTGCAGAGGCTACTGACAGCTTCATAGGTTGTGTCTTAGCCCTTTGCACCACCAGGGAGGCCCCAATTTCTCTTCTGTATCCTTTAAGAAACTGCTTAATTCTATTGCTTGTGGGAGATAGTTATCATTGATTCATTCAGCAAACTGTTTTTTATTCTAAGCTTGTTCTAGGTACTGGGATACAAAGAAGAATAAATAAGATTCCTACCTTCAGAAGGTAGTAGTTTTTAAGGCATGCAAGTACATAATTCTGGTGATAACTACTAAAAGACAAGATGTTTATCATTTTAGCAATATAATATATATTTAGCACTTATGGTAAAAACTTACTGCAATTCAGTTTCAGTTATTCCAGTTTATCTAGATTTATCATATGAATCAATCTCTTATAAGACTAAATTATTCTAAATTTTAATAAGAAGATGATTCCATTTCATGATGCTCTATATTGAACCTGAGACTGCATTGGGATTTTTTTTTCAAAGTCAGGTGAACTTTAATTGATTTTGTATTTTATTCAGCATCAGTTCTTTATGCCATTCAATGAATGTGTTTCATTAACATACTTTATTCTGTTCTGAAGTTCTTCAGAAAGTGCCTGTTTCATGAGACTTATCCCTTCGTAAATATAATAATTGTAAAGTCTCTCACACTTTGGAACTTGTGGGGCTGAGCTTGTGGTCATGCTTGCTGCGCTTTGTTGCTTTTTTACTTAAAAAGTTTTTTTTATTGGGTAAATAGGAATTAGAGTTTTGAGGAGAAAATTAAGCAAGATTTTTAGAAGCTTAAATATATTATGGCCTGATCAAATTTATTTGTTTCATAAAATTGTTTTGAAATAACTTTATAACTTAGAAATGTTTGCATAATTTTTTTATATCAGTAACATTAAGTACTCTTACATACACATTATTTAATTTAATTTGATCTTAATTGTGTTCTTATTATTCTGCTGGGAAGATAATACAAGTTTTTAACACTTCACATTTAAACTTCTAATTTCACCTACTATATATCTTTATATATTTACATAATAGAAGTGGTTTACCTTGGAACTTTTATTTTTATTAAAGCCAATTTTTATTTCAGTGTTTTGTCCTGTTTTGTCCTCCTAATTCAATTAATCCAAGACATTAATTGAAGTTACTGAAGCACTTTAAATTAGAACTTAATTAGCAACTAAACACAATTTTTGATAGAATGTTTCAGTTTTTGTTTGAAGTCAAGTCACTTCCTGTGCCTGGATGCCACAGTTTTACATAACTTGATTTCTGGAAGGAGTCAACTTTGTTTATCAATCTGTTGGTAGTCATAGATGTAACTAATAGTGTTTTTCTCAATGAAGTTATATTTAGCAGTTTTGCATAATAATATTTCTTCTGGTAGATCATCTATTACGTACTGCAAGTCAGCATTCTGATAGCAGTGGTTTTGCTGAAGATTCAACAGACTGCCTCTCCTTTAATCATCTTCAGGTAAATTTTCTGTGATTAAATTCTGTGGTTTCTGTTTCAGTTAGTATGTAAGTGATTTTTCATTAACTGTGTGTTTCAAAACCAAATGTACGTAATTTTAATTTTTCCAAGTGACAGTAAGAATAACACTTTCTGGGATGCAGATGTTTACCTAAGCATTTGACTACTAATTTTAGGTTTCACCAATTCTTCCTTTCTCTCTGAATGTTTAAAAATAACAAATTGAAGCTTCTTTATTTTTTACCATCAGGTTGTTCTATCATTAATCTATTCTGTGTATTATTTTTCTTATTTTTTACCCTCATTATGTTTAAGTATTTTACAGTTATTATTTTGCTTATGTAATAACTAACATAGGGTGCTGAAAGTTACGTAACTTTTATACTAAAGTTTATTAGATACCACAGCAGATAGGCACAACTTTATTGTTAAGGGGTCATAGTCAATGTGTGGAATACACAGGATATATATGGAAAGTGTTTAAAACATCTATAAGCAAATTTTAAAGACAACCGAAATAGGAGGACTCTTCCCCCCCAAAGCCTTTAGAAACATAGCATTTAAAGAACAGACAAGAGAAGTGTTTAACGGGACTCAGAACGAATATTCCTACAGGCAGGAAAAGTACAAGATGAAAGAGATTTTCAAAAGGAAAGCTATGGCCCTCAAAGTGAAATCATGGGAGTTTGGTTACTTGGAAGTTGAGTCATTGAGTGAGTAGTTCTGATGTACAATGAAGCAAAAGCATAACTGGAAAGTAGATGAATGATAGGGAAAGAAGACATGAATATTGACTGTTTTCAAATTTGGAGGATAGAGAATGACTTAGAGGGAAGTTGCTTGACTAAGGGAAGGGTTTGATGCAGAAATATCTGAAAGGTATGATTAAAAATACAGGTTAGAGGGATTAGCTTTGAGAAAAAGGACAGTTTTCTTTTCAAAATGGAGGGGAGGGAATGATGGAGAGGTGTTATATCGGAGATTGTAGTTGTTGGGAAAGAAAGTAAAGGAACTTTGGCCATTTTCTTTGAGTTCATGGGTGTTTAAAAGGAGATCTAAAGAAAATAGTGAAAGTGTGGAATAATCTTTGTGATAAAGTGGAGGGGTTGCTAATCAGGGTGAATAAAGGGTTTTTAAATAGTACCAGACCAAGGGATGGAAACTGTAAAAGAACAGAAATATCATAACAGTTTGGCACTTTATGATCCTTATCTGAATTCTCCATCTGTCCCTGCTTTCCTTTCACAGGTTCATGAGCACTTGCAGACCATGGGGAGTAGTGCTGATAGCTGTGACAGTGAGACGACTGTCACGTCATTTGGTGAAGATCTTGTCACACCAACAGCACAAGATCAGCCTTATTTCAATGAATCAGAGGAGGAGTCTCTTACCCCTCTAAAGAAAGGAGGAGAGAAGGCAGCAACAGTTGGTCATCAACAAAGAAGGTCATTTAGCCAGGATTTCCCCCAGTGCGAGACTGTTGAGAATACAGGAAATAAACAGTCCACCAGTAGTATTGGGGATCATGTTACTGAAATTACTGAGACGAAGGAAGATTTGTCTCCAGCACAGCCAGTAGAACTGCTGAGGGAAGCAAGTGCTGAAAGTGATGTGGATATTAGCAGTGAATGTGAATTTGCACAGTATACCACCCACCATATTCTTAAATCATTGTCTTCTATTGAATGCAGTGAGAAGGGCTCTGAAAATACAACTGGGGCTCCCTCTTCTGTGGACAGAGTTAATACGGCTTTGCAAAGAGCCCAAATGAAGGTTTGCAGTCTGTCTAATCAAAGAGTAGGACGTAGCCTGATAAAATCGAAAGATCTACTAAAGCAGAGGTACTTATTTGCAAAAGCTGGCTATCCTCTAAGGCGATCTCAGTCCTTACCCACCACCTTACTGAGCCCGGTAAGGGTTGTGTCCTCTGTCAATGTTCGGTTATCCCCAGGAAAGGAAACCAGGTGCAGTCCTCCTTCCTTCACGTACAAGTACACACCTGAAGAGGAACAGAAATTAGGAAAAGAGGTGACTGAGCATGATGGCCAATCTTTAGTTAAATCTACTATTTTCATATCACCATCATCTGTGAAGAAAGAAGAAACCTCTCAGAATGAGGTGAACCAGCTGGAAGAATGCCATCATCGAAGGACTCCTACCTGTCCACTGTATACTCCAGCACCTATATCTCAGTCCACCTGCTCCCTTCACTCTGTCCACTCTGAGTGGCAGGAAAGGCCCCTGTGTGAGCACATGAGGACTCTGAGCACTCACAGTGTTCCCAATATATCCGGTGCCACCTGCAGCGCCTTCTCCCCTTTTGGGTGTCCTTACTCACATAGACATGCTGTCTACCCTTACCGAGTATGCCCTGTGAACCCTCCTTCTGCCATTGAAATGCAGTTGCGAAGAGTATTGCATGATATCAGAAACTCACTGCAGAATCTTTCACAGGTATGAGAAAAAGTATCGGTTTTGTTGATTTGACTACCTTTTAATTCCCTGAGAGCTAAGACTTGTCAGGGGAAAACCATTGCAACTTTGTTTTTTTATGTGCCCAAACTTACTTGCCTTCTTCCTATAAAAAAGCTGTAACTAATCCCAAACAAGGTCTATTTCTTATTTAGGTATCATTAGGTACCCTTTCTTCTTCAGTCTCTCCTCCTTTATCTTAGCCAAGCAATCTCATTATTAAAACCTCCTCCCTCTTAAAGTTCTTTCTGTCCTTTCTTTTACTATTTGACAAGTGCTCACTACCTTTCTCTTCTAAGTTTTCCTCCCCTTCGCTCCTGCGGCACAGTGTCCTCCTGTTCTGCTCGTAGCTCTCTGCCTAAGCTTTCCCCTTCACCTACTGACTCCTGATGCTGGTCTCCTGGCACAGACTTAGTCTGCTTCCACTGGGTTTAAAGACTGGAACTACCCAGAACAGAAAAATTCAGGTAAATTGTGAATTGAATAAAAATGCTCTGTGTGTCTTGTTACTTTTAAAGTCATTGCTCTCAGATTTGTTAGTAGACTGGAAATAATTTCGAAAAAGTAATAAAAACAAGAAAATTGTCTTTAGATCTCCCTTTCACAGTTTCTTTCTAAATCACTTAAACAGTTGAAGAAATGAAGAAAAGGATAATGTAATGGTCATTCCTGGTGCTTCAGTAGAGTCAGGAGGCATAGAACATATATGATAGATCTCTATCATGTAATAGTAGGCGGAAAGCCACCTTGAAAGTAAAATCAAAGTTGTAACTTTTACAAATTATTCAGTAAAATATGCCTTCTTTCATATATAGATTTTATCCTCATGACAATTATCTTCTAATGACTTCCAGCTAACCAGAATATGTTTCTTCCACCTCCTCATAAAATGTAGTTCTGTAATAATATCTCATGGAGACCTTTCAGCTCTTCCCATGTGAAGAAGCTGGGATTTCCTAGGACTGTCCACCTCTACTCTCTTGGTGCACCTTTCATTATAGTTCAGCTTATTCTGCTCTAGAAAAGCAGGTCTCCCCTTGGATGTTTCATCAGTATAAAGCAAATTAATTTCTCCACCTTCACCCCATCCTACACCAATAGACAAGTGTCTTCGTGACCTGGCCTCTGTGTCTCATTCTTTATGTGTGCACGTTAGCCAACTTGGAGTGCATATGGGCCTCTAAGTAGTTGTATGTCCTTAGTATCTGCTTTACATGATACTTTTATTTTAAATTTGAATTGTCTTGCCCTGCCCTTGTCTGTCTTTGCCTGACCAAGTCCTGTTTACTGTTAAGGCTCAACTCAGATGCCAACACTGTTGTGATCACTTATTCATTTAATCTGAATTTTCATTTATTTTTATTGCAGTACCCACCCCCCTCCATTCCATTATAATATGTTTTTTTTTTTTACTTCTCTTTTGTTTTCTTTATTATATTGTGAGAACACTTGAACTCCGGGAGTGCCTTTTACCGTTTTTATGTTTTTTCTTCTCTGCCTAAAGTAATGACATATGGTAGGTGGCTGAGAAAAAGGACTGATGTTTGCTTGCTACTCTTAAGTCAGTAGTTTCTGTAGTCTTAAATGAAATTTACTGTGGCCTCTCCATTTTTGAGTTTTGTTTATTTTCCTACTTTCTTAAGGCAAAAGGAAAGTCCTTTCAGACACAGATTTAAACTTTTGCTTTGCCTTTTCCTCATTCTAAATAGACTCATTTACATATCAACAGATAGATATAATAGGTAGCATGGGGGGATGGTGGATTTTTTTGCTTACAGTATGAAATGGCAGATTTTTCTCTCAAAGATAAAATATATAGGCCCCAAATTCCACCTTTTTAACACCTTAGATAATTTTAGAAGTAGTTACTTTGACACTGGTTTCTAATCATACTTCTACTCTTTTCAAGTACCCTATAATCAGAGGACATGACCTTGCTGCTGCTCCATATAGCACTCAGAAATCATCTGTTCTACCTCTTTACGAAGTAAGTTCTTTTTTTTTTTTTTACGAAGTAAGTTCTTGACTTAAATCTTGATGTTTCAAAATCACGTCTTTGATTTTGAAATAATTTTGTTATTTTTGTGTTTTAGAATACTTTTCAGGAGCTCCAAGTTATGAGACGGAGCCTAAATTTATTTAGAACACAAATGATGGATCTAGAATTGGCAATGCTACGTCAGCAAACCATGGTTTATCATCATATGACTGAGGAGGAAAGGTAAAAGTTCGCTTTGTTTTAATGTAACTCGAAATGTTTTTAATGCGAAAAGAATTTTCAACTTTCTTTTTAAGCTAGTTCTTATTCTACTGGTATGTACTCTGTATTTTGTTACCCAAATTAGGCAGTAATTAGGTAGTCCTGAGTAAGTTTCTGTCTTCATTGTATTAAGGAGAAACACTGATTTAGTTATTATTGTTTGAGATATTTGTATAAGAAGTAGAGGAAGAAAGACCAGTTGTCATAGTGGTTATACCTGCTGTATATGCTCTTGTACTAATTCATAGAATTTGGATATTCGTTATCTTCTGATGACTTTAATAATGTCAAGAGAATTATGAATAAAAATCCTCAAACTGCTTGTTTCTGAGTCTGTGCTTGTCCATACTCAGGTGTGAAGTTGATCAGCTCCAGAGTTTGAGAAATTCAGTTAGAATGGAACTCCAGGAACTGGAACTACAGCTGGAGGAGCGTCTGCTGTGCCTGGAGGAGCAGCTGCGTGTGCGTACGACTTCTCCCTACCACTCCTCGACACTGGTATGGTACCTTATGGCTGTCATAGTTTTTACTCATAATTTTTATGTTCTAATCTAGGATATAGGCCTTAACTTAAGAATATTTATTTTAATTGCATTAGAGGCATGGAGAATATTTAAGGAGCCTTTCCCACAAGTTAGTTGTGATTATTTTTCTAATTACCTAGATTAGGTAAAAAAATTAATTGTTATTTTTCAAAGAGAGTAAGGACAATGCTAAATGTGAAGGATTTTAAAGGAAAAATAGATGATTAACATATGATTAGTTTAGATTTTAATCATTTTGTAACTGCAAAGAAAAAATATATTTTACTATTTTTCTTTTTCTTGCCTGTCACTAAATAACTTCCCTTTATTTTGGATTCTTACTTTCCTTATTTTGGAATCAAATGAGGTCATTATAAAGGTGGAAGATATTTTTACAACCAAGACAATGAAAAGAAACACTTTCTCTTGTCCCACTTTTTATATTTTTAATGTTCCTTTCCATAAATTTTAAACTTCAGTTATATTATTATTTTGGCAATATCTTCACAGTTGTTGAATATGTTGTGTTAAAATGTGGAAATAGTGGATTTTTTCTTGAACAATATACTTGGTTTTGTTAAAAGTAAATGTGTGAATACTCTCACGTGTATGTACACATATGAAGTAGAATCAGAATAAAAAGTGTATATATACGCATATATGTATAGTATAAAATAAGTATGTTCTATATTATTTATAGATATCTTTTTTCATTAAAGGTTTTTGATCCATTCTAAGAAATGAGTTTTGGTGACAGAAGAGCATCAAAATATCTTCTATGCACCTTTGGTCACAGAAGGATCCCGAAGAGTTGAGAGGGAACTTTGTGACATAAAGGGATGCATCAGAGCAATAATCAGTTGATTCATTTTATTATAAAACACAGTTGGAAAAAAAATATATGTGCACACATATATATTGTTCTTTTTCAGGGAATGTGTGGCAGTAGAAGTGCTGATAACTTGTCATGCCCTTCTCCATTGAATGTAATGGAACCAGTAAGCCTCTCTCCTTTTAAATCAGTGGGGAAAGGAATGATGTACAGTAGTCCCCCCTTATATATGAAAGAATGTTCTGAGACTTCCCTTGGGAAACCCTGATTATACCAAGTTTTTTCATATAGATGCATGCATACCTGTGACAAAGCTTAAAAAAAGTTAGGTATGGTAAGAGATAAGCAACAATAACTAATAGTAAAATAGATCATGTAATAAAAGTTCATTATTGTGGAATCTCTCTCAAAATACCTTATTGTATCTAGTATTTTCAGACCATAGTTGACCTGGCATTAAATGAAGCCATACAAAGCGAAACCATGGATAAGGAGGGACTACTGAGACATTTTATAAACACTGTTTTTCTAGTATATATGAAATTTTTTTAAATATATTTGATAAATTAATTGGAAGTGAGTTTGGCACTTCTGAAAGCCCATTGCCATTTTATGTTTTAATCTAGGACATAGGCCTTAATTTAAGAACATTTATTTTAATGGCATCAGAGGCCCATATGGACAATCTTAGACCACCAGAATGCCAGCTTAATTGCCATAATGATTTTATTTTTAGATCAAAAGGAGATAATGCATCACAAAAAGTATTTAATTTATTGCCTAGGAGAAGTTTTTCTAGTTTGATTCCAGGTGCTTTAGGTAGTTGAATCTAGAAGCTGGACTACTTTTTGAGCAAAACTCTGACTTTAATATATTTCAGTCAAATTGTTTCTTTTATAAATAACTGTTTTTCACTAGTTACTCTTTGGTCATCTGTGTATAGCAAGTAAAATTTTATCCAGCTATATATTTTAGCTACACACTTTATGGCATGATCTCATTACAAATTTAAATTTCCAATTGAGCAAATTTCCAATTGCTAAGTGAATGAATTAAATCATGACTTTACAAGTTAAATAACTTTGACAGTAGGATTTTAACCTTTTTAAATACCAATGTTAATTTCAAGAGAGAACAATTACAATTTTTCTGTTCTCCAGGTTACTGAACTGATGCGGGAACAATCATATCTGAAGTCTGAATTGGGCCTGGGACTTGGAGAAATGGGGTTTGAAATTCCTCCTGGAGAAAGTTCAGAATCTGTTTTCTCCCAAGCAACATCAGAGTCCTCTTCCGTATGTTCTAGTCCCTCTCATGCTAATAAAAGAACTGGAATACCTTCTAATGACTCAGCAGTTAAACCCAAGGCCCATGTGGTACAAAGGAAGAAAGTATTCCGAGCATCAGTGGCCCTTACACCAACTGCTCCTTCTAGAACAGGCTCTGTGCAGACGCCTCCAGAAGTGGAAAGTTCTGAGGAAGTTGGAGCAGAAGAAGCCTCTGAGACTGTGGGACCTAAATATGAAGTGGAAGGAGGACATGAAAAAATCCCATTAATGCCAGCTGCTGAGGAAATGCATAAAAATGTGGAGCAAGATGAACTGCAGCAAGTCATACGGGAGGTGAGTAAAATCTACACTTAATTTATTTGGCAATATGCTTTGGAGATTTTATTTGAACTTTTGCACTGTATTCAACAAGTTTTAGAGAGCTTTTAAATTAACTTTCCACTGATCCAGTTTGTGTCTATTAAATTATGTTTGTAATGGAATTTCTGCAAATTTTAACACTAATGTAAATAACGGCAGTTCTCTAATTTCACTCTCGTGAAGAAGGTAATTGTAGATTTCAAGATAGATAAACATGACAACTCTTTAGACTTGTTTCCACATTGGCAAAAAAAGGGATTATAATTTGGATCTCTTCCAGGATTAAAAGCTGTTATTCATGCTCTATTGAAATGAGGAAATGGTGTTGTGACTTGAATAGTTACAAAGAATTTGGTCTATTTGGTCTAGTAAATGCAAAATGTGGAAATTTTCATATGAGTTGTTTAAAGATATAAGCATAGAATTTTTATATGAGAGCAGTTATAAACCTGAGGTATTTAACCATAGCTCTAGGTTACTAACAGGATGGCAAAAAAATAGGAAAGTTAGTGTCAAAGGTTTAAGGGTAACTGAGAACATTAGTAAGAGCAGTATTTTGGCACTAGGACCAAAATTAGAAGGAATAGCATATGTATTATTTAAAAGGAGAAATCGCTTTAGATACACTTTTATTAAAATGGCTTTTTTTTTTTTTAATCTTCTTAAATCACACTATGCCTTTGGGTACAAAGTCCAGTCAAAGTGTACAGATTAGATACAATTACATATATTGAATTTTCCCCCCATTCTATTCTCTTAAGAATTCTTAAGAATGAGTATCTTTTCTGTAAAAGGGGAAAGGAAAATATATATAAATATATATAGAAAATATATATAGAAAACATGAAATCCATAAGCTTAAAGTCGTATAATAGAAGGATGAGCGAGACTACCCAGGAAACAATGGAAAAACCACACAGAAAAGCATTGAGCATGATGTATTCAAGAACTAAGAATTTAGAAATGGAAAGGATCTAAATAAGCCAGAGAAATTGGGATCAGTGACTCCCTAGTTTTAATGGAGGTATTTCAAAAAAAATTAGCAATATGAATCTAATTTATATTTAGAATTAACATAGAACAAATTTCTAGTGATTGTAGGTGAGAATGTTGACAACGGACCTAAATCAAATGGACCATTCATCCTCTGGTCCCAGGGACTAGTTTGTGTGCATTAGGTACCATCACTTACAGACATGTGATTTGTATCACTTGAAAAGTATGCTAAAAATGGGCCTCCCCAGTGGCGCAGCGGTTGAGCGCTGGGTTGCGAAGCTGCCCGCAGCCTCTGCAGCGCCGGTTCAATCCCCGGCCACTGGGTGAGGGTCCCACATGGCGCGCAGACCTCTCCTGCCGCCCGCTGCTCCCCTCAGCAGTGTACTTTGTTAGTCTGCCTGCTCTGCTCCCCGCTCTGGCTCTGGTGAATTCTCTCACCCTCCCGCGCTTCTGACTGTACCCAGTGCTTGTATAAATAAATAAATAAATAAATCTTTAAAAAAAAAAAAAAAAAAAAAGAAAAGTATGCTAAAAATGCAGTCAGTTTTATAGGATAACATGCTTTCCTAAAAATTGCTGTGTTGTGCAAATTAGTGCAGTAAAAACCAGAGCTTACAGAAGTGTAACACTCAAAACTTTGTCAGTGACATACTTAAAAGAAAATAGAACCATAATAAAAAATAATAAAAAAAAAGTGTAGTTTTATGCATGTCAAGTTGTTCAGAACTACATAAATACTGTAATCTGACACTCTATCTTGAAAAAATCCCTAACGTTAGTTTGCAGAATTGTATTTAGGAAGGGTTGCAATTTGTGAGTTATTATGAAGTCATAGAGGGTGATCTATAATCCAGCAAAAACTTTTAATACCAGATAGAGACAGGTGTGACTCATAATACCTAGTGAAGTGAGATAGCTGGAAGATGTTTAAGGTGTGTGCATTTTGTGTACTGTATTCCTAGGTTCAACTGAATACAGTTCCCTGGTTTACTTTGTGTTCCTTGCACATAAGCAAATGTGAAACTTATACTCATTTTTTCATATTTCAGTTATGTTGAGAACCCACATTCATATTTCAGAGCAAATGTTGTAGCAAGCAGAAGAGATTGCACGTATATAATTTCTTTCATGGCATGACTTACTAAAAGTTTAAAAGATTTTAATTCTATAAGTTTGTTCTGCAAATGTAATTATTTTTGCAAGTTGGCTATTACTGGCTAATGTTAGTAAACTGTATATCCACTCTGCTCAGTTAGGTGTGACTATGATTGTCATCCATTCTTATTTATATATTTCATATCAAATAACATGTTTTGAATGAAATGGTTTTTCTACAAGTATGTGTTAACTGAGGAAGTAAGTTTTAAGGTAACTTTTTCCCTTCTAAGAATGTGATATTTTGTTGTGAATGTGTTTTTTTGTTTGCTTTGGTTTGAAAGTTTTCACTGAAAATTCTGTTGTTACTTAATTTGGCACAGATATTCCCTTAATGCACACTTGAGTTCTTTTTAAGTTGTTAATGGCCTGAGATGAGCTATAAGTAATTTCTAGGAGTAACACATTCCTAGACAAGAGCATGGATTCTTGGGTAATAGAACATAGCATATGGAAGTTACTGTTCCTGTTTTTGATGCTTTGGATTAAATTGCTTCATCATTCATAAGAACTGCCTACTAAACACAGACGATTTTCTAATTTGAAGATGTTTAAACTGCTGTACAAGGTAGATGTTTGAAAATTTTTTTTCAGGGGCTTCCCTAGTGGCCTAGGGGTTAAGTCTCAGCGCTGTCACCTCAGTGCATTGCCTGAGTTCGATCCCTGCCCAGGGACCTAATCCGCATGTCACAGCAGACCTCGCCTGTCTTGTCCACTGCTCCCTTTAGCAGTATATTTCAGTAAATCCACCTGCTCTGCTCTCCACTCTGTCTCTAATGAATCCTCTTACCCCCCCCCAAACTCTGGCCTACAACACAGTTCTTCTATGCAATAATAAACAAATAAATAAAATAAACAAGTAAATAAAATCTTTAAAATAAAAAAGAAAATTATTTCAGAATTTATTACTTAAACCCATTATATCTCTAATTCAAAATGTGAAGTAGTTTGGAAGAAGTTGTGCTTACCATTTACCCTTTTACTGTCTACAAAGTAGGGTTTACTAAGCAGGCTATATAGTTCCTAAGAAGCAATATAGTATTTAAGATGTACTGAAGTTTTGTTTTGTTTTGTTTTTTTGTGGGACCCTCGCCAGAGGCCGTGGAACTAACCTGCGCTGCAGAGGCTGTGGGCAGCCTTGCAGCCCAGCGCTCAACCACTGCACCACCAGGGGAGGCCCTACATTATTGTTCATTTTAAACAATATTTGCTTCTTCCCACCCCCTCAGGTGTAGTCCCCATAGAATTTCCTTCACCAATGCACTCGTGCACCATCACCTCAGTCCTCTGTGCGCCTCCCTCCCTCCCTCAGATCCCTCTCCCTGCTCCTCCCCTGCAGGATGTCTCTGATTTGATTTTGAACCACTTTAAAAGCATATATTGGTCAGCTCAGTTCTGGAAACAATCCAAGTGTCCAAGGATAGATAAGTGAATTAAAATGTGGTATGTGTACATAATGGAATACAACTCAGCTGTTAAAAAATGAACTCTTGCTTTTGGTCACATTTATAGAAGTGGAGGGGATTACACTAAGTGAAATAAGTCAGAAGGGAAATACAACTATATTAATCATAATAGATTTTTGTTTACATGTGGACTACAGAGAAACAAAGCAAAAGGTTGGTCAAAACCAAAGCAGTAACAAACCCTAGAAATCTGTTGGTAAAATTAAGGCTACTAAGGGGCATGGGAGACGGTGGAGGAGAGCAATGGCGATGAGGTGCCAATGGATAATGGTAGAGAACTATGGGTACCTTGGTGGTGGGAATGGCTGGTGACATGCATCTGAGGAGGAGTTATCTTATAACTCTGAATTACATATACTGCTGTAAAGCAGTGTTGAATAAAATTATTTTTAAAAGCATACACTGGCAGATAAATCAGTGCATGATAAACTAGTCCAGTGCCAGTATAATTTTAAAAAGTGATTTATTAATGTTATCCTAGTTCAATTACAGTGGTATTCTCTTCAACTTTGTTCACAAAATATTTAAAATTCAGATTAATCTTGATTCCATTCAGTTCAGATCCATAGTCTTTTTTTCTTAAACATACAGGGTACTGAGTTCCACTCTTTTTATGCCTGTTGTATTAGCTATCAAGAAAATTAGATTCTGTCTTTCCAGTAAGTTCTGGGCTCCTGACTCCATTAACAAAGTCCTATTCAGGAAGGCAAGATATAATCTTGGATTGAACAGTTTTGCAGGTGAGGATTAACTTTTAGGAAAGTCATCTTATTGCACTCAGGGTGCATGAAAACAATGGTGTCTGTCAGGCTTTTGTTTCCATCATTTCATCATATGTGAAGCTTTTAAAAGAATGCTTTTGCTTGTAATGTGTCTATACAACAGATTTCTTCTTTAGTAGGAGAACATTAAAAGAAAGTTCATTCAGACATTTAATAAACTCATTCAGTAATGTCCCCTCCTTCAGATTAAAGATACCCCCTTTCACTGCAGATTGTGTAGTGGGAAAATACTCTCTCCTGGAATTTTCCCAGGTGGTCTGTGATAATATATAAACAGAATGAAGCTGTTTATAGTTACTTAAAAAATAAGTTATAGAAAGATTTCTTAGTAGAATAAAGTGACATGTGCCCACAGAAGCAAATTCAACAAAATTAAACATCAGAAAGAACAGAAACATTTTTTTTTTTCCTAAAAGGGAACTTTTTTTTTTTTTTACTAATGAAAGCACCATTGTTTTGTGTCTCTGTTAATATTTTGACAGTGTAGGATTCCTTCCCTCAGGTGTGGCCATTGTAGCCTCCCCACCACTAAAGCACCCACAGTCCATTGTGCTCCCCTCCCCCCCACCATTCTCACCCCTCCTTCTTTGTCTCCCTCCTCCCCTCCCCTCTTAGATGCCTCAGAACTATGGTCAGTTTTCAAGGGTTGGTTTTAAAGTTTGTCTTTGTTTGACCCTTTGGTTGGGTCAAACAATTTTTTTTTTAATGGGACAATTTTATTTTTCGGGGGCAGGGGAGTAGATAGACTTAAGTGTCAGAACTTCTGGAATTGCTTCTTGGTGCCAGTGACATTGAGCACATTGAAGTGAGGTCTTGCTCAGGGGCTGGCATTTACCTTGACAGTGTCACTTATCTTGGATATCCCTGAAGCAAGGGGATAGGTTCACAGACATGTTCTTTTTTTTTTTTTTTTGAAGATTTATTTTTACTTATTTATACAAGCACTGGGTACAGTCAGAAGCACGGGAGGGTGAGAGAATTCACCAGAACCAGAGCTGGGAGCAGAGCAGGCAGAAGGACCAAAGTACACTGCTGAGGGGAGCAGCAGGCGGCAGGAGAGGTCTGCGCGCCAAGTGGGACCCTCCTTCAGTGGCCGGGGAGCATCCGGGGATTGAACCAGCGCTGCAGAGGCTGTGGGCAGCTTCGCAACCCAGTGCTCAACCGCTGCACCACCGGGGAGGCCCCACAGACATGTTCTTAATGTCACTTTACACTGCTGTTGTCCTGTTGGATATAGTGGGAGTTATCTTAACAGATGACAGTAAACGACTGCATCTTTGTTTTTAGAGAATTTTTCTTTTTTATCTAAGCTCTTAAACTTGATTCATGACTTTTGGTATCTATTATACTTCACCGACATGCTTTGAACATGTGTTTTGGTAAATAACATAACTTATCTGAGTTTTTAACAACTTTTAGTGATCACAATATAAATGGCTGCTACAGAGCGGGCACTCAGTAGGTGCATCTTAAATGGGTGTTGCCCCACACTTCAATCTGTTTATGTGGCCAATGAACTTTCCTTTCTTAATTTCAAGTAGTCTGTCCTCAAGGCCTGCAGTACTTTTTGGAAATTGTGTTCATAAAGGTAACTTTACAATCCATCCCAGTAGTGTACTCGCTCTTAATTCTTTCACCGTCTCTGTAGCATGAGAAAATTTAGTACTAACTTATATTCCTTAAATAAATTATTAAAAGCATTTTGTCATCTTCAGTGCTCCTTTGTGGTTGTTTTTCTACTGTCAGTTTCTTTTTGTGTCTCATACTCTCTCTTGCACTCTTATTGATTCATTCATTTATTAAACACTTACCTTGTGATACAGTAATAAATGAGACCTAATCCTCTCCCTGAAGTAGCTCACAGTAAATAAAATTTGACCTCACCTTTCCTATTTCAATTTTCTTTTCCCCTTCTTAGGAACTATCTTGTCAATTAGATTAGAACTATCTTGTCAATTAGAACTATCTTGTCAATTGACAACTATCTTGTCAATTCCCCCTGCCCCCCATCCTAGGTGCTGTTGACTCTAACCTAACAATTATCTGACATTTTCTGCTTTTGTGATCTACTAATTTAAAGTCTGCTATTTTTCTGAGAATTTTAAATTTTTTTTCTTCTAGCTCATACTCGTCTCTTATTTTTCAAATTTTATTTTGTTCTTATATCATTAATTAATTGATTTTTGCCTCTTAATATTTTATGAAACAATATTTTTTGCCTATCTAGATTGTAACATCCTTGATGGTAAGAAATGGTTTTATGCTTTACTTCAGTAATGCTTTACTGTTCCCATATATAGAATCACATTGGCACATATTTTTGGTTTGTATAGATACCTTTGCCTTGTTTTTAGGATGAGATTTAATAAAATTACTGTATCATTAAACAGTGGGACTGGAAAGATTATACTACTCATTTTCTATTGTAAATACTGATCTGCAGTGGTTCTGATTCATCATTTATTTGCAGTTGTATACTATGGGAAAGAAATTACAGTTTTCATAGCATTAAATCCAGCACATATTTAAAAAATGAATCTGAGTTACTATGAACTTTAAAAAACCTTTGATGATGTTTACAGTTTAGAAATAATTGGTAGAGCATAAAATGAGAAGCTAATATTTATTTAAATCTGTTCAGTACAGATGGTTAGTAGCAAAGGAGCATTTGTTTCTATGAATACTTACGTATAACTTTATGTATTGTGTACCAGTTTTGCATGGCAGATTAACACAGAGCTGTTTTTGGAAGCCTCCAATTGTGATGTGTTCAGGATGTGCTTGCAAACATTTTAGGAAATAGATCAGGCTGACAGGAAACTGTAGAAATGTAGAATTTTTAAAAGGTGGTTGAGAGTATCTCAAGTGCTAATTTGGGAAGGCATTATCAGTTTATTTCAGGAAATACACATTTAAAGCATTCACAAAGGGCTATTTGAAGGTGATGTTGTATCATTAGAGAAAAGTGAGGGTAGGCGTGTGTAATGTTTGGGCATCTGGAGAAGAAAATCTTGATTGTCTTGGTCCCTACATCTGTTTCTTCTCCAACAACCAAATGAAATGCCTATTCGTATCTGAAGCAAAAGTTTCATTTGGTGGGTGATAACAAGCATTGTACAACTAAAGAACAATTACTTTTTCTAGAGTTTATAGTTGTTTACAGGATGTTTTAAAATAAATTGTCCTAAATGATTATTTTTTCTTCCCACTTAAAATGTGCATGTTAGGTTAGAACAATAAATAATTTCTTTATGTACTTTATTTTCAGTTGGCATAAACGGCCACATACCTGTATATTATTTTGCCACTAGTGGGTTTTCTTAACAATGAGAACATTGAGTATCTTGCTGATTAATATACAAAGGTAAACATTAATAAACAGCATCAAAGTGAACCTAACATTTAGTTACTTTTTCCAAGCTATTTTGTGCTATGAAGCAAATTGTTTAACAGAAGTTTTTTAATCTATAACAACATTTATGATTTCACTCCTGTATGGTATTTAGAGAAAATAAACTTATAAATTATAAGACCAATTAAGTGGTTACCAGGAGTGAAGAAGAATGGAGTGGGTAAATCAGGTAAAAGGGGACAATTTGATGGAGGATAGAACTAAACTTCTAGTGGTAAACTTAATTTAGAATATACACGTGTTGATTTCTAAATTGCACATAGCTGAAGCTTATATACTTTAACAAAAAATATATGAAATAAAAATGCCTTATGTTCTCAACTTAAGAATTACGATAGTTTATAATCCAGTTTTCTGAGTTGTGCTATAGACTTAAATCTGATTGGGGTTTGAGAATAGATGAATGTGATATTCTCAATACGTCTGGATTTCATGGAGATTCACATGAATGTTGCACCTTTCTCTATGGTTTAACTGATTGCGGGAATTAAGTGTTACTATTTATTTTTCTGAAAATAGTCATATTGTTAAATGATTTTTTTCCTTTTCTATTCTAGATTAAAGAGTCTATTGTTGGGGAAATCAGACGAGAAATTGTAAGTGGACTTTTGGCAGCAGTATCTTCAAGTAAAGCATCTAATTCTAAACAAGATAGTCATTAAATGGAATAGGTAAATTTTTCTCAATTTATTTTAGATAAAGATAAATTAGCACTTGTTTTTGAATATTTTTTTTTTAAAGATCTGTTTCTCTCACTGAATCTAGAATTTCGGTTGTATATAACATGTTACCATAAGTTTGGGAATCTCATCAACCCCATTTTAAGTTTAAGCAAGTTACATCTCTTATACTAAACCCCAAGGAATTGTCTGTATTTTTATCATTTTACTGAAATTTTGTTGTAATAAATAATGGTGAAATTGAGGAAATCATGACCATCAAACGTGAGTCTTATTTTAAAGATTTAGCTGTAATATTTCAGGTGTACAATTTATGGACCAAGATTTTAAACATCAATCACAAATTTTTGTATCTTAATGTTTTGTCTTTTAAAGACACACATTCTATGTCCATATCTAGTTATACTATATAAAAAACTTTTATAAGTTTTTATTAAAATGAATTAATTTCATCTTTGCTTTAATTGCCTTTTATAAACTACATATCAATAATAAAACTTGGTAGATGCAAAAGTAGAATAACTTTTCAGTAGAATAATAGCTTTACTAAAACTATTACTATCCATTCAATAAAATGAGAAATAAATTTAATTGAAAAGTGTATGTAATTTCATCTCTACAAAAGGGAAAAGTATTTTGATTACCCATATTATAAATCAACTAATAGTTATTCAAGCCAAGGATAAAAATCTTAACTCTTGGAAGCTATATAGTAATCATCATAGTAGGATCAATGTTAATATATATATAGAGAGAGAGAATATTCTCAACCCCCCCATGAACCATTTTAATAACAAGTTTATTGTTAATAACAATATTTATTGTTAATAACAATAGTTTATTGGAAGTAATTTAACAATATTTTTAGAAGGTATAATGTTCATCTTTCTTACTTTTTTTAAGGTTGGGATGGATCCTATTAGCCATGGGATATGAAGTTATCAATGATATACACTGGTGGAGGTATTATTTGTGCTTCTGAAGATACTTGCTGCTCAGCTGGGCTACTGTATACAGTGTAAAATGTTTATTTCTTCACATATCTTTTTAAAAAACATACATAGAAACTTAGGCACTTTGCTGACTTTCTCAACTATCAAAACTGTAGCCATTTGAAAAGCCTAATATTTATTTGTATGTCAATATTTTCCAATCAATTCCCTATTTAGAATTAATTTTAAAACTTGAAAACTTCCAGACTTAACCAACTTATAAATAACATATTCTTCAGATAGCTTCTTAAAACACTGACCTCTATGAGGTATTTACTGTGCAATAATAATAGATGCAATTTTGGAGAGCTTGAAACAACAATTGATCTTCCCTTCACTGCTGTTAGTTTCACTTCCAAGGGGAAAAATTGTTCTGTTGTAAAATTGCTCTTAATTTTTGAGGAGGTTACTAATAGCAGTAGGATAGAATTGTATGAGATTTCCTACTTAATGTTCTTACACTGTAAGCATTGTTACTTTACCCAAGACAAATGTAATTTTATTATAGCTTATTTAGTACTCTTTTTGAAATGTGGCTTATGTTAAACACTATGTACTTTTTGCATTGTTCAAACATCTTTATAATAATAAGATGTTTCTTCTGTCTTTTAGTATAAATGGTAGAGTGTTGCCAAAATAATGGAGCCTATGACTTGAATGGATAGAAATGAATAAGCTGGTTTTGGTTTTCAAAATGGAAGTAATTTAGATTTATTTTCCTCATAATTGGATGGTTTAAATTCAGTTTTAACTAGTGAAAACTGTTTTTATGGGAAAAAAAGGAAAATAGTTTCCTATTTGATATTGTAAGTGATAAATGTGTAAAGTAACAACCAAATGCCATTGGAGTTACTCTTTTAGCATTATAATTTTCAATTCCTATTATATTTCTTTGTGTGAAATTTTAATCAAAGTGGTTGAAATGTTAACAATATTCTTTGAAAGAATATCCAAAAGGTTCTAAGTGTTTGAATTACCACACAAGGAGTGATTTCTAAAAGAAAAATTAAAACAATAAAGTATTTATTTTGCCTAATGTGTATTTAGTGATTTCTTTTTTTTTAAACTATAACATGAAGAGTTTGAATTAGATTTGATGCATAACAAATAAGATCACAAAACTTGGAACATATAACCTAATAGGTTGAAACCTCTTTTCCTGAAGAAGCTTCTATGATGCTTTCAAAATGCAGTAAAGCTAGAAAATCTGGAGTTAAAGCATGTGCTAATGCCTCCTGGTCTCATCTAGTTCTGTGGTTTTAATTATTACCATGTGGCTTAAATAAATCTTTTCTTTAAAATGAACTGTTAAACTACAAAGAACAAATTTTAAAATATTACCAAATTCTTTGGTCAAACTATTCAGCAATTTCACTAGTTGATTCTAGTAACAGTAATGATACATATATAAACATATAAACCAGATACTCCATATTGATAATATAGGCATGAGTGTTTTAAACTATTTAGCCCTGTTGTATTTTTAATTTCTAACAATACAAGATACCCAGAACTTGATAATCAAAATCGGAGACAAAACAGTTACAGTACTGACTAAACCAATTGGCAAATCACTTATATAGTATCCAAGTAAAATGAACCTTAGCTCTATTGGAATTTCATCTCTCATTTCCATTTTAATTTTTTGTGTACTTGAATATTTGAAAGCTACTGTAGTCCAGCTACCATACTAACTGCTATGTAAAAATGAATGTGAGAGGGTCTGCAAACTAGACAGAAGAAATATATTTATGTGTAAATTTAGAAGTACCAAAGAAAAATATGAAGAAAATTGAAAAGAATTTGAGAGACTGTAGCCTGGGGTGCTCAGAGAAGTCTAGCCAGGAGATGTGGTTTGAGTAAAGTCTTAAAGGATGGGAAGTGGAAAGGGTGGGGTTCAACTAGTGAAGAACACTACAAAGGTTATCTAGAATGGATAGGGCAGAATGGATAAATTGAGTTTGAACGTGCATAATGAAAGAAATACTTTTAAGAACCCAAGTTGTCTATGAGTTTTCACATGTGCTAAGAGCCTGCATGAAGAAGGCATAGAAGGAAAAGTATCTCGAAATGATGTTTTGGAAGTTGGGAATGTCTTTAAATGAAAACCACTGACAAAATGGACAGCTGCCAGAACTGAAGTCCATATTGTTCCTCTAAGAATATTTAGCTGAATTTCAGTAACAAATGCATTGTATAAGTTAAAGCTATTGGACTCATCATACTTAAACCTCTTTATAATGCTTTATATTTAGAGCAGTTTTAGATTTGCAACATGTTTCACCTTTTTTAGTGGAAAGCAAGAATACAGTAGCACATATGTAAAACAGTAAAGAAAAGTATGCTGGGGGGATTCCTGAAGAGATAGTGTACTACCCCTGCTGCTCCCTTGTCCAAATAGGAGTGTGATGCTATTGGGAGAGTAAAGCAAAACTGAAAAATCACAGGTAATCCTTTTATTTATTTCAACTTGTAGAAAGGAAGAATTGACAGCAGTTCTGGGAGGTGGGAAAAGGAAACATTCTATCTTAAGCTGAGGAGCTAAGTTTTATAGTTTGTTATATATGACTGGTTGCTTGAATCATTTATGAATATTGAAAGCATTTAATTGGCAATTGTCCTGACTGCATCCTAAATGTGTACAGGCATATCTAATTAATAGTTCCTCTCCTATACAGCTTTTTATTTGTATTTATTACTGTGAAGTTGGGCCCTTGGTGTCTTGTATTCTTTACTCTCATCTTCACAGTTGATGCTGAATACTAATTGATGAATAGCTTGCACACAAAGTGGCAGTGTGATCATTTGTAAATTAGGTGTGCAAACATATCAGACCAATAGCAGGATCCATTTCTTTATAAGGATCTTCTTGAAGAAACTAAAAATTTGTGAATAATAATTAAATAGCTTATTTACTCTGTTTACTTAAAATTTTGCCAGGAATCTACCCATTATAAGGCTTGAGCTTTAAGAAATTGAATATACAGAGTGAGTAAAAACATGTTCTAAGGAAAGGTAATAAAATACATTGTTTACAGCTCTGAGGGAAAGAATACATTTAGGAATTAGATTCCTTTGTTTTGTTCATTTTTTTAAAACTCCAAAGAGGTTTTTAAATAGAAAAGCATGAGTTGAATGAACATGAGCGATGTATTCTGAAGATCAGACTTAAAGGACTTAAAAGTGGGACTGAGAGAGGGATCATGCTTTATTTTAGAAATAACATTTGAAGTAATATTCCAAATGATTAATTTGTTTTCCTCATGATAGTAAGGTTTTAATTTAGTTGTAACCAGTGGAAACTTTTTTGGGGGGAGGGGGTAATATTTTTATATTAATTTTTCTTCATTTTTTACATCACTGTTCATTTTTAAACATTTGCTTCCCCCATCCCCTCAGGTAGTAGTCCCCATAGAGTTTCCTTCACCAATGCACCCGTACAATAGGTAAAACCTGAAAACAACCCAAATGCCCAAAAATAGATGACTGGATCAAGAAGATGTGGCACATACACACAATGGAATATTATTCAGCAATCAAAAAAGATAAACTCATGCCATTCACAGCAATGTGGATGGAACTAGACTTTGTAAAATGTAGAAATGTAAATGATATTCCTTATTCACAAATACACATTTTAAGAGAATACCTATTTTTCCAGTGTTGTTAAGCTAATAACTAGTTATAGAAGCTATTAGTGTTTAAATATAATTCTATATTTCTACAGATACTTTCCCAGAAAGCTAGGCGCTGGATCACTGAAAAGATTAAAAAAAAAAAAAAAGTCTTAAACAAGAGGGCTGGTATTATTATAAAATTTAAGCAGTCATTTACTGCTCAAAGAGGAATACGTATCCAAAAATGTAGAATAGGGAGAATCTACTGGCTAAGGCTCAAGCCGGGTGCAAAGCTCTGCTAGAACTGGAACGATGATAACAGTACTTCCTTCATGGATTTGTTAGTATTGAAGATAAATGCACTGAGTATAGTGCTTGGCACAGTCAGTAAAATGTGGTAAAGAGTTGAGATTGGGTAACAAGAAAATGGGCTTTGACTTATTCAGCATTATATGAAAGGTAGAACATGAATTTATAGATCCAGGTATGAATTTTTTATCTTCATTGTGTTCTTTCAAGCAATAGAACCAGGGACTGGCAAAAATAGCCCTGTTCTACTATGTGAAGACTGAACTATGTGAAGAACAATGCTTCTGAAATTTTAATATTCACAGAAACCAAATCCCCTGATATGTTATAGAGATCAAGGTTCTGATTGAGTAGAGCTGGGTCCTGTTTGGGGAGGTCCAAATTTTTGTGTTTCCATAAGTTCTCTGGTGAGGTTGCTGTTGCTGCACTTCAAGTAGCAAGGAATTTTATTAATAGGTCTTACTGTCTGCTTTCCAAGGGAGAACTTCGTTAAGCAGGAAATGAGCATTTTTATCTCTAACAGGTTATCTTTGGAGGCCCTCTTCAGGAAATTTTCATTATAACCCAAAGTTCAAAACAGAGAACAAATATAAGCACATAGGAAGATCCAAGGGGAACCATCTCAGTAATGTCAAGAAAAGCCAAATGTTATAAATAGGCCTGTGTGGCAGTATTTAAAAAACAAAGAGCTATTTTGTTGTTAATGGTTAGCAAGTAAAAAGTCTTCATATTGTGTTGATTGGATGTTGAGAAAATGCACAGTCTGAATGCTTCTAGAGTCAACTAGTGGAAAACCCGAATGAGACCCAAAAAGGAAAAAGTAAGCTCTAGAAATGCTGCCCCAAACAATCAGCTCTTGGGTGTGGAATTTGTTCCAGTATTCAGTGTTTGGATTGCTTATTCATTTGGGGGCTGACCTAGTGACTGAAAACAATTACACCTTGGTCATACACATTATAATATTTCATTTGTGTGCTTGAATTAATTGTTTAGTAAATCCACCCACATATGATTCATGGCTTTCTGGTAAACTGCAAATAATTCCTTTTGTT